AAATCAGGATTTTTCAGCCTCAGATCACGAATGAACTGAAGGATTTTTCTTGTACCTTTTTCAAATGTTTGACAAACGTCTGGACTGTTGTTTTAAACTTCAGGGACCAAAATCCTTCACCAGCTGTTTTTCCTGCTCAGTTCCATTCGTGTCACGTTGTCAACTGTCAAATCTGGGCCTTTCGCCAACAGGATGCTCTGATTCTGTGAGCTGCACCTGTTGTCTGTTTGCTAAACCCGATCACCAGTAGAGGGCGACAGCAGGGTCACTTTGATTGTGGCTAATCTAAGTAAGGCTATCACCAATGAGGTTAATGTGGACATGGCCTTCCTGGTGATGTCATAACTACTAAAGCTAACGCCAGTCTTGATTAAAACTGAAAGATGCAATCAGTTCTTGACTGCAGACAGGAAGTGGTGATCGGGTAGAGCACAGTGACAGGAAATGGTACTACGGTGACTGCACTTCTCGGAAGCCCCACCCTGTGCTGTGCCTTCAGTCCTACCACACTGATGTCACGTCTGTTTCTTTTGACAATTTTTTTTCTTGTTCTAATGCCTGAAGGACCTGTCGTTTTACACTCTGCTGCCCACCTGTGGTGAAACTGATAAACCACCCACTGTTTTTTTTACCTGCTGAGGAAGCGTCTGACTCCACAGCCTGAGGAAATGGAGGGAGACGGACTGGTGGACATGCATCTCTGTTCACAACTGAAGACCTAATGGGACTTGAACCCTAAAACTGGTGCTTAACTTTTCTCTGAGATGTTAAAGGTGAAGTTCAGTATTTTTAGTGTGGTTGTAAAAAATACTGATGAAGCACAGAAACACTCTCCAAAACTAAAGAAACATGAGCGCAGCACTTTTTGCCTCTTTTTTTTAAATAAGTTCAAATTTAGTTTTTAATTATTATAAATAAATGTCACCAACAGAGGGCGCTCGTAGTGCATAGAACTGTGTCAGTTAGTCAAAACCAGACTAAGAAAATTTGGACTTGCCCTTTTACTGTTTATCTAAATCATGCGATCAAACAACTTTTCACTTTGTTCCTTTCACTTTACAACCGTCACTCCTACTGCCTTCAATTTATGTTAAGAGTTTAATTTTAAAATCTGTTATTGTTTTGAGTAAAACCAACATTTAATGGAAGCAGCTTTTTTAATATAAAATTTCCTTGGGTGACTCAAATTATGTGGCTCCCTCCGGAGGCACTTGGAAGGAGGTATTTTGAAAAGCTCAGTTGCATTCTGCAGTCAATTCCCCCCTAAAATATAAATCATAAAATAGTGAGACCTGTGTCATCTAATCAGGTCTTTCTAAAGTTTGTCTGTTTATGCAAAAAAATTAAGCAGAGAAAGGTAGAGAAAAAAAAACTAATAATTTACATGAATAAGTTCAACACGATTGGTGCAAATACACATTAGTATGATGTCATCAAAGTCTAGATCCATCAGTCCATTTATTTGATTTGGTTTGTATTGGTGTTTGGTAACGAGCTGAACACCTCCTGGCCATGCTCTTCATTATAGCTGCTTCTTTAAAAACAAACTTGTGAATTTTTTTTTTTCGGGGATGTGAAGGTGACACGTGTTGAGCCTTTCTGTGCTGCAGGTTTATTTATGGTTTTCTGACCAGATTAAACAACTGTGTTTAATTTTCTTCCTCCTCTGGACCACGGTTTCCTCCGATGTTACTGGTGCTGATTTTGTATCTGGACTTTGTATGTTTATTTTTGTTGTTAAGTGATAAAAGTTAATAAACAATTCAATTGTTTTCTTCAGTATATCACACGTTTGCTGGAACTTTTACTGTTGGACATCATTTGACAACAGATGCACTGATTTTTAACAATGGCGTTCAGTGCAGTGTTTTACTAACTATAGTCTTTATCCAAACAGTGAACTGTATCAATAAAATCCTGAACCTACATTTTTATTCCTTGTACTTCCATACATTCAACAATGTTTTATCTGTTGCCAAGAATTTGGACTTTAACATTTCCCTTGATTATGTTTATGGACAACAAACACTTGATATGAACCTCAGGCACCATCTTTGTAATGTAATTCTGCACAACAACAGTGGGGGGCAGCAGTACCACAATTGCACACATTTGGTATCATTTTGGTATTTTCCTTATAAACATCAAGGGAGTCCATTTTTACAGAAATCTTTCCTTGGTTTTATTTATCACACATTTAGAAAATGAACCACACTATACAAATGTCCAGCGTCATCGGGTGTTCAGCGTGAAACCCGGCGACCTCCAACCAAACACTGACACAACCTTCCGCAGGAGAAGCAGTGACAGCAGCACCACCTCCTGGGGATTCAAAGTCAAGACTGGGCGTGGATTTGGTGGCATGTCGTGCAGTGGACTGCGTTCGGCCGACCTCCGATTCAACGGATATTACGATTTCTTTTTTTGTTTTCATTTAAACATGTTTGCAGTGGCGCTGGGGGGCAGTAGCATGCAAAAACCTTCGGATGCGTCTCTCCTCTGATTGGCTACGTCATTACATTTAGCGCTATGTAAATAAAGACGTGAGATCAGATTTCACTGTCTTCTCTGTTTTAGAGTCTGGTTATTTACAGTATTACAACAGAAAGTGTGTCCGAGTTCTGCTGAGGGCCAGCGCCTGGAGACCAGATTTCCCCGTCTCAACAGCAGGGGGCGAGGCAGAAACGGCACGCCCACTGTTTTTGCTTTCTCTCTTTTGCACTCTCACTCAGGTCGACAGAGTGATCTGGCGATCGGCGACACACTCACAAATGTCCGCCGATCAGAGGGATCCACACTTTATTTACTCAGACATTAAAAAAAAGAAACAAATCAAATCAAATAAAAATGAGGTGGGCGGGGCAATGAAGAAGGAAGGGGAGTTGGGCGGAGCTTAAGCCAGGTAGCTGTATGTGTCCTTCTCCCCGTCCACTCGCTCCAGATACTCCTTTTCTATCAGGATGTCAATGCATTTCTGTCCACAAGAGGGAGACAAAACACACCACAACCATTACCACCCAGTGCACAAACAAAAGGGAAAAAAACAAAACAAAACAGTGGCTCAGTGGAGACACCACTACTCACACCGACTATTTTTGTGTGTTTTTGTTTCATGTTTACACACTGCTATATTTGGTTTGGATCTTGGTTTTGCAGCGAGCTGTAAACGGATTGGCCCAACATGTTTTTTAGACCTTCAGTGGTTTTCCCCTTGACTTTGGCAGAAGATAAGCACAACTATCAAACAAATCACTAACTGGAAATATAACACTGGACCGTCAGCCGCACCTTAATAAAAATAACTATTCACGACCTTAATTCATATTATATTTTAAAATGAACCAAAGATCACAGTGTTAGAGCAAAATAAGGATAAATTGAGCCCCCTGCTGCCCCACACTGGTATTGCAGCCAAAAGTAATGTTTTAGAATGACTTTAAAGAGATTGAAGGAGGTTTTACATGATTTGTACAGAGCCTCTGCTGGACGCTCCGTTTGTTCAAGTGTGTTACCTTAATGACGGGGACTCTGGGTTTGAATCGTGATGACAGCTGGTTGAGAACTTCAGCCAGAAGCTGCTGATGTTTCAGGACTTTCCTCATCTTCATAATCCTGACAATGGCCGCCTGAACAAAACAAATTCATTTAGTCGGGTTAATGAAAATGAGGACTGGGATATTATTACTGTAACAGAATAATTTACAAAGAAGTGCAGCAGGGCTGTCGAAGCATCTATGAACAATAAACTGGTCATGAAGTTGAATTGAACTCCATTGATTGGATAATAATGAAGTTGGAAGGCGACGCCCTCCCCGTACCTGAATAAGAAGCTTTCTGTCCTCCTCGATGTTCTTGTGAGTCGTCTCCTGCTCCTGTTTCTGCTCCGTCTTCATGGGGACGTTGATGTTCACCCTCAGCTTCTTACTGCAAACAATCCACAGCAGTTTGAGCAAGTAAAAAAAAAAATTAAAAATCACCAACCAAGAATTGTGCAGTTCACGCTCCACTCACTTCTTGTATCCTAGGAAAAGTTTGATGACGGTGTCAGGTTTGAACTCCACCTCATCCACGTTGGCGTTCTCGTCCTCCAACACCTAACGCAGATTACACAGAAGGGAGTCAGGTGAGTGATGACATCATTCTTACTCCATGAGGAAAAAGTGTGAACTTTTTAAATTAAATATGGAGTTTAGATTATTATTGTCTTTTGATTATTACGGTACTGTTACTGTAAAAGAGTGTGGTCTTTCAATTGACACAGCTTTTGACTGAGGTGGTAATGTTATGGTGCCATCTGCTGGTCAGAATTCAAATCAACAAATGAGGCACTGAGACTGGAACACGTTTGTTTGACTCACCAGCAGCTTTGACTTTAACAAAATTTGCAGAACCTGAACCAGAATATCCTGAGGAACAAACATTGCAGAACCTGAACCAGAATATCCTGAAGAACACAAACACAGAGAAAGGTCAGAGGAAGGTCAGTGAGGTCACACATTCAGCAGTGAAACTGAGAAGCTGAAGTCTTTTCTTGGTTTGAGGTCACACATTCAGCAGTGAAACTGCTTTGTTGGTCCATATATGAATGACCACTCACAGTTTTGATCTGAGTGCTGTCTGTGAGCTGCTGCACAGTGTAACTGTCCTCCGTGTTGTACTGCAGCAGGATGGCCATCTGGAAGGTGGAGGCCTGCAGTGTGTACCTGTAAACAACAACAACAACAGGATATTATTCCTTTGTTTTAGTTAACAGGTTGATGGGTCCGATTAAAACAAATTCTCCTAAACATCCACTTCCTCCTCCACGTCCTGCAGCACCGAAGCATAGGTACCTGTTCTTGAAGCAGTTGGTGACCAGCTCTCCTTTGGACAGGTGATAGAGCCAAGTCAACTTCCTGCCACTGTGTCTGCTGGCGTAGAAGGCGGTGAAACGCTGATAACTTCGCTCCAGCTGCAAAGACACAGTGAGGCGTTCGTTACAGTTCACCAGACTTTAACATGATTTGTGTTTTTTTTTTCTTCAAAAACTCTAAATCCAAGCAGAGAAGAGTCGTACCTCTGAGGGCAGAGCAAAGGTGCAGGACTGCTGGAAAGGCCACGACCCAGAGCTTAGAACCTGGATACTGAAGTCCACTGGAACAGAACCAGACCGTACACAGCTTTTCAGGTTGCGTTCAACCACAATGCTCATCGTCGTCTGATTTAAGCTCTCCCCCTTTATTTCTTCTGGGCCTGTTTTCACTAAACCTTTCATTCAACATTCCATAGATGGCGCTGTCCACTCATTTGTTTTATAGAAGTGAATTTGAACATGGCTGCCTACTGGAGTTTTTTAATGGACTTTGCAGGTTCTTAGTAAACTGCTCATTAATATAGGTTTTTATTATAACTTCAACATAAACGAACGTTTGGAACTTAATGTAATATGAGAAAAAAAAACTAAAAGTTGGCGCACAGAACCATTCATAGATTTGTTTGTCTTTTGTCCTGACAAATACACACATTTAACAAGGTGTGTGTGTGTGTGTGTGTGTGTGTGTTGTGACTCACAGTCCAAAGGCTCAGAGTTGGTCAGGTGTTTCTTGAACTGTTCATTTAGGTCTTTACTGACGCCGATGTCCTGGAACATTCTCTGCAGTTTGGACGTGTATTCAAAGCCACAGGCTTGCTGCAGAAAAACAAAACAAACGACAGTTCAGCTCCAACTCCTTCACTGATTCTATCAAAGCTCCGTCTCCACGGGTCAGACCTTGAGTTTGGAGATCATGCTGGCCTCGGCGTCATCACTGGCGCTGTTCTGATGGACCAGACGTTTGGCTAACATCTTAGCGTAAAACTTTTGGAAAACGTCTTTGTCCTCAATGTATTTGAACACAACCATCTAGAGAAAACAAAAATCTCATCAACACTCAGGTTCAGCATGTGTGTCAAATGTTTAGATTTCCCACTGATTAGTTATTGATTCATGTCGCAGCGTGTCAACTTTACCACTTGGTTGAGTGTGTCCTCCAGTTCGGCCTCTTCTGGATTTTTAGAGCTAAAAGATAAAACACAAACTGAGTCTTTGTCTGCTTTCACAGTGACTGAATTAACATCGATTAGAACCCAGCTGTGAAACGCCATCATGCGCACACACACGTGTGTCATGTGACCCTCACCTCTTCTTCAGTAGAGAATCGCAGTATCTGGCGAGCAGCTCGGGGGATTTGCTGGAGGACTGAGCCATTCTGGTGACGGCGTTGTTGTTGATGAATCGACCGCACGCCTGCAGAAAAGATGTTTCAGTTTTAGAGCCGTTACATTTTCCAGGTTTGATGTGAAGTTAAAACGGTCAGACAAGTCACTGACTTTATCCAATGCAGCCACAAAGCCGGCGTCGTTGTTGAAGGCAGACATGACTAAGGCGTTGTATTTCTTATGGACGTCCAGCGTGGTCTGAACGTACACTTTAGGATCCTGCAGCAAACACACACACAAACACACACACACGTTACCTTCAGGTACGTTTTCTATCATTAGAAATAAAACCTACTGCACTGAAGAGAAAGAAATGTAAATGTCTCAAGCGTGGACTACAAACGCAGACGTACGTTCTTCCGCCCCCCCTCCCCCCACTTCTCAAAGGCAGCCAAGCCTTGGTTGTGGATGTGTGTCTCCAGAAGCTTCTTCAGCTCACCAAGACCGTCCGTGATCCGTGACACGAGGTTGTACATGCGCCCCAGATCTAGAAAAAGAAAGATTCGATTTTAAGTCCCTCCGTAACAAAACAGGAACTGGATTTTTTTTTTTATTGTATTTTCAGCCGACCTTCGTTCTTGTCAGCGTCCAAAAGGTTCTGAAATTCCGTGTGGAAGATCTCCAGATGTTTCTCGATGAGGACCTGCTCACACTTGCGTGCCAGCTCGTCCTGGGTGGATTCGTGGAGGTAAACTTGGACGCGCCGCTGCTCCTCCAGCAGCCGAGCCTCAGCCTGCAGGAAGGAAAAGACAAAACAAAACAAAAAACCTCCAGCAGCCGAGCCTCAGCCTGCAGGTTGGAAAAGAAAAAAACTATGTTTATTCCAGAATAAATCTCTGTATGTTATCCTTCCTTGGTCAGGAGAGTTGAGGTGAGAAGAAATGCCCGGCGGTGTTCACCTTCTTCATGTACTCAGTGACAGGGTTCTGCTGCAGGAACTCTGTGCTCTCTCGTGTGTAGAAGCGCTCCGTGTCGGTGAGGAACTGACACTCGAAGTACTCTTTGTAGACGGACAGTGTCGGGCCTTTGGCAAAGGCGTCCTCCTCGTTCAGGCCCAGCTCCACTTTAGGAGGAAATCATTTTTAAACATTTTTAGTCTCTGAGCCGCCGACTTTCGGGTGATGATTCTGAGCTGCGGGAAAGGGATTTACCGTAAGACTGAACCACGCCGCTGATCAGTCTGGTGTTAATGGTCTCACCGTTCCTCTCTCTCTCTATCAGCTTCAACACTGCATTTGTCACCTGCACAGATTTGAAAATGACTTCATGTTTGTCATTGTTACTACACATCAAAGAAAACGTGAGTGAAGAGAATACAGGCCACAGGGTCAACAAAGACCTGTCTGTTCCTCACTTCCTGTGTACACACAGAACTAAAGCGTACCTGTTTGTTGAGGGGTCGGAATAAACACTCTCTCCAAGTCACAAGTGCCAGCTGAGAGGAAGAGACAGAGACAGAATTTGAGTTTAAAGATCTAGACCAAAAACTGCATGTCAGTCTGTAACGTTGGTCTATAAAACATCAACGCTGACGTTTCATTCAGAAATGATAAAATTACAGCTGCACCATTAGTCTCAGTGTGTGTTTATGGCAAATGCAACTAAAAACGCATCAATACAAATCCATAACTGTCCAGTTCCATCTCCATGGTTCCTACAGACCATCACTGTTTAGGACTTACAGAGTAGATCTCATAAATGCCCTTGCGTCCTTCGTCACACTCCCGTCTGACCCAGTGGCGGTTGAGGTAGGCACAGATCCCGTTGAGGACCTTACTAGAGAAACGATAGTCCTCCCACTGCTGGGTGTAAAATTTGAGAACGCACTCATCCATTAAGTCCTCGCCGTCCTGAAACAAGGACCAACCAGAGAGAGGTCATTAACACAGGAAATGACAACGACTGTGTGAGGCAGAGCTGCCGGTGTGTGCAGGCTCACCTTTAACAGGCTGGTCAAATAGTTCTTCAAAAACTCCTTGAGGCGTTTGTAGAGCTCCAGGCCCACAAACTGAGCGCCCCCTGGAGTGGTGGACTTTTTGGAGGGTTTGGCAGGAGGCCCTGAGCCCCGGGCATGGCTGGACTGGTGGACACTGGTGCAATAGTTATATACATGTCTGAGAGAAGAGTTAAGGACCTAAGAACATGGGGTGAAACCACATTACTTCAACTGAAACACTGGAGAACATGTGCACGAATCAGAGAATCTCTGACACCACAGGAAGTTTACAAGTTTAGCTGGAGAGTTTAAAAACTATGTTGATGAAACTACTTCTCTCTAAATGTGACACATCAGTAAACTTCCTGATGATAATATGACCTCGGTCACATTCAAGATCGTTGGTCGATTACAGTGCTTTTTAAAAGAAAGAAAATGGTGCAAAGTATATTGCTAGAGTTGCTAAATATATCGTCATTGACTGAGACAACATGACGGTCAGGAAAATGTTAACTGGTGTCATATATCCATCAGACTGACAAATATTTATATAGGATTAATATTATTATATTGTTTATTTTTAAAACCAGATCGTAACTTTTCTCAGGGTTTTACTGTAACAGATGTCGTCCAGTCTAGTCTACAGTTTGGTTGAGAATATCAAGCAGCCTAAACCGGTACCACTTCTCTCCTCTTTCTGAGGTCACACACTGACATCACAGGATACGTGTACAGTTCCATGTAGCGCGACTTGGCCATGCTTTGCCGCGTGTACACCTGCTGGATGCCAGCCCGCAGGTCGTCCCATATCTGGTCCAGGCCTATCTGTTTCAGTCCATGGGGGTTCTGGGTCCTGTTGGAGGACATTGTCTTCACCTGGCTTCCTCCTCCTCCTCCCTCAGTGCCCTCCCGTTCCTGCTCCGCCGAGGGTCCTCCCCTCGCCTCCTCTCCTCAGATGATTTCTGTGCTGACGTTCTCTGCTCTCAGAGTGTGCAGTCCATCAGGTGGCGGTGGTGGCAGTGGGTCAGGAAGATGGTCTGAAGTGTTCTGAGATGGGAGGAAATCCCACTCAGCAACAGCAGGGTGGCGCTGTCTGCCACTCCTCCACCTAAAAGCTTGGGCACTTCTTACAAGATGACCTGAAAAAATAAAAAATGAGAAACAGAATTAATTTTATTTTGTACAAAAATAGACCAAGAACGTTTTCATCCATTATTGAATATTCCTGTCAGTAAACCACTGGTAACTTTCCATTTCATGTTGAAACCTTAAATGATAATAGCACGATTAAAGAGTACGATGGTGTGTTTCTTTTTTGTTTTTTCAGACATTAAAGTTTGGTTTAACAAGACTGACCTTTTAAAGAATCTGATCCTGTTGACCAAATACTTCCATCAAACACAGACTCAGACTTCTGCCCGTGTTGGCAGCAGTTCTACACCTGGCTCTGATCCCTGCAGACACTGCTACAGACCACACCCTGTCACTGAAGTGGACTAATGACAGATTAGTCCACTTCAGCGTCTCCATCATCCACTAACTCCTGTCAGGACAGCACACGTCACACTCCGTATGCACCAACATTATTATTTATCTTTTTTTATCTTTCATCAAGTTGTAACTTGCTGAAGTCGAGGCCTACAGGCTCAGTAAATTCAACTCATCAGATACGTCCACCACAACAGACCTACAGACACTACACATCCCAGTGTGCACTGCAAAAGCTGATGCAATAGTTTTCTAACTCACAGCCTGTGTTCATTTCAGATGCTGCTGGTGAATCCCTGCAGCAGCAAAGAAACCTGAAAGGTTGTGACAAACATGGACGACACAGAAAAGACTTCTCCTCCGTCTCTTATATTAAACTCCATCATTGCTTTGTTTTGATTGTAACTGTACCTTCAGAATATGATTTATAGTGAGGCCTTATAAACCTGACATTTGACTCCAGCTGATTAATGTGAATTATTTGCAAATGATCACAAAATACTTTGACACACAATGCAAAAGAAATCATTTAATTGTCTGCAGGAAACATTATTCAAGTCTGGACAAAACATGCGTAAACATTTTTTATTAAATGTGACTCAGTCTTCATAAAAAGCTGTATTCAAACATGGATTAATTTCCAACAATTTCATAAAAGATGAAGAACACAGACTGACCTACAGAATATCTGATCGTCACAGAATATTTTGCAGGTTTGCATTCATCACATAAGTTCAACATGATATGAAGCTGCCACCGTCAACAAGAACCACTGCGTTTCATAGGGAACGTTCCTGGTGCTACGAGGTGCATATGGTTTGTGTGAAGAAGCTTAAAGAAGCAGAGACAGAAGCAGGGTGTTTGGTTAGAATCTGCTGCGTACATGTAGGCTGTAAGGCAGGGCTGCTATATTTAGAAAAGCCAGTCATGCAGTGCTGCCCCCCTCTGGACATTAACAGAAATTAGGATCAGAGACTCAGGAGCTGACCCAGGTGCAGCACTCAGGCCCATGTCCTGAACTAATGAACGGACGGCAGATGAACAGAGTATGTCTTTAGAACACCAGGTCGGAAAATTCCTTTTGTGTCCTGAAGTTTTTCCCTTTCAAAAGTTGTGATTAGAGCGTCTGTGTGCGTCCTGACACGATGTGAGCAGTCCTGGCCCATATGGGGTTCTACCAGGTTCAGCCCAGGCCCAATCCAGGTTCCGCTCCTCTTCAGCACATCCTTGTTCTGCTCAGAAAAGATCGGCCACTCTTATGTAGCTACCTGAGGTGCTCCGACAGTCGCCATGACAACTGGGGCAGACAATATGTGCAACTAGCCATTGGACTACGGAGGCAAGAGCGTCTCTCTTTCTCTGTGTGCATCTATTCATCAGTGGTAAGAAAAGGTGCCCTTCACAGAAGCAGCAGCGGGGCTGTGATCAGGTTACAAATTCCCACACTGGGAGGCACTACATGCGCTGTGTGTCCAGACAGTATCTGATTTATGATCACCTCAGCCCTGTGACAACACGGGGTGACGAGGGTGTTTTCTGAGTGGCGACACTTCATAGAAAGTTTGTTGTGAAAGGAGAATCCCGTGAGGAGGATAACACGTTGTGCTCTGACACGCGGAAAAAAACAGGCAGCGTCGAAAAGGTCATGCATCGTTTCAGAGAACCGCTGCGCTATTACTGTCCGAGCCCCTGAAAACACACTGTCAACAAGGAGCATATAGATCCTGTTGATGTTGGTGTTGATGGTGAGGTTAATGAAACCAAATAAAACCAGGGACTGACTATGGATGTAAGTACTTGCTAATCCTCAGTGACAAACACATTTATATTCTGCATTTGTTTGTTCTAGAAAACCTTCACAAAATCTTGTTTTCAGGTTCTTGGATCATGTCTTCCATGGCTGCTGTGGTCATCATTATCATCTAGTCAGGATGAACTTCTCAACTGCACAAAGGCTTTAGGCCTCGTGTTGTCTTACTGTAAAACCATTTCAGTGACTCCCAGACAGATCTGGTTCTAGACCTGAGTAAGATGAGACGCTGGTGTGAGTCTGTTTCTCAGTGTCAGCTTTTAAAACTTCAAGAATTTGGGGCTGCTGTGATAATGTTCGTCCAACGCTCACCTTAAAAATAAAAACGACAACTTAATAACCTACATATAAAAATTATTTTTAAAAAAGTATGTAAACAACACAGACACAAGTTCCCGTTCTGTTCATATGAACCCTGAAAAGAAACATGTGGCATTATTTAAATAATTAATTAATGACTTTTCTATTTTCCCCCAGTGAGTAAAAAACATGGTGTTCATCATGTAGCTGTTTTAGCATATCATATGTTACAAATATTATGTACTAAAAAAAGTGTTCAGAAAGGCAGCCATGCTGGTGTGTGTATGTGTGTAATGATAAAATGAGTAGGTGGCAGCGAGGAAGAACGTTTCATTAGTGTAAGCAGCAGCTTTTGATTTCTGCTGCCCAGCTCAGCATTTAGCAGCAGCCACAGCAGAGATGCTCTCAGCTCTGGCTTGACTTTGAAACAACTGTTCTGTCGTCAGTACAAAATCACCAGGCACATATTAAGCAGGCCGACCTGGATAGGTCAGACCAGGTGAAGGTAGAAGACAGTTATTGTAGCCTACTGCTGCTTTGAAAGTCCAATTATTAGTCAGCCCATTATTGATATTTATTATTTGTTTAATTAGCTACCTAACGAACTACTCATCTCATATTCTTTTCCACAGAGTTTGTAAACATCTGTAAATTTACATCAGAGTTGCTGATTGGCTGCTGCTGCTTTTTTTTCTCCTTTTAGCCTTTTACATTTCATTAGTAACCACTGTTCTGACACAATAGAACTGTGGCAATAAAAGTCACTATAAGGCAGGCATGAAATGCTGACACTGTGAAACATATTTACACACAAAAAAATCACAATGTTATTGTTGAGATCCTCTAGTTTCACAAACTGACACCACGAGTATAGCAGCCGAGCCTCTCTTATGTTCAGACAAATTTAAAGCAGACTATTTTGTCTTTGTTAAATTTTCAGTTCAAATACATTTAAAAGTAAATTTAACTTCAGTAAATTAACTTCCATTTTTGGAGCAGCTTTAAAGCTTCCCTTTCTGACATACCTTCTGCTTCAATGCCCAGGTCTCATCAGTCAACATTCTTCTCATGTTGATATACACCAGGGCACCATTATGGTTCCTATTCAAATAGCATTAACAGTAGACATATCAAATTCATTCTAAAAATTTGAACTAATTTTTAGAATTCTGGTCAATCTAAATGTAACAGTAAGCTGTATACCTGAACTTTGGCGACATAGTGTCATACTGTCTTTGAAGGCTTTGAAATGTAAATGATGTAAGTTCAATTACAGTACATAAGGTCATTAAAAAACTCTTGAGTTCCAGACAATTACTGAAACACGTGCAGTGTTTACCTGAACAAATGGCACCACATGGGGTTTCCTTGTCTCTGCTCTTTTGTCAACTCACATGGATAGATATGTATTCATCTTTCGATTGTTGATATTACTCTAGCAACTGTATCTTACAGTAAAAAGTCAAGGCTTTCAAAAAATGAATTGTCTAAACAGTTGTCCAGAATAACTGTCATAACTGTTCAGTAGCGCTGTAATGGGTCTATATTTCCCTGGCTAAACAAGCTCACCTAAAAAGCAGCTCAATGCTAACGAATTAAGATTCATTCTGGGATACTTTGGAATGTGTAATGTTTCAATACAAGGCAAAATATGGGTGCTTTCACCAGGTGCATTTGTTAGCTCCATCAAATTTAAATGGAGCAAACAGATCTATGCCTACAGACTGTGACGAAATCTGTCAACAACCACGAATAAATACCTTCTGTTAAGTTGCAATCTGTGAACTGGGATACCGTTCTCGTTTTAAGGTGTTTGATAACCCAAAAAAAAATCGTGACCCATAAGTGGGTCCTGACCTAGTTTTTGGAAATTATGAGTCTAGTCAAAGCCTATGTTTGATTGATTTGATTCAACTGTATAAACACCAGAGATTGTGTATGAACCCCGTATCAGGACCAAATCACCATTCTTCACTCTGACCTGGAGCTAAGAATATGGCTTGAGCTCTATTAGGCTCAGCAAAAGTTACCACATAAATAAACGATATGAAAAAAAGAACACATGATGACGTTTTTCATCGCATTGCGTTGCGGGGTTTACGGAACACAGCCTGCTACGCAACACTGTTAGCTCCTCAAGCTTAATTAGCCTGTTAGCTCATGTGAATTGGCTCTGTATCAAACCATGAACTCTGATTCTCGTCATGTTTGATATGAAGTAAATCATAAAGTATGATTTTAGAACATATCAAAAATAGACGCGATTTTAACACACATGAGGGGGGACGAAGAAGGCCAGACTGTCTGTGTTGCGGCTGTAAAATGGCAGCCTTTAGCTTCTCTTCGCTGTGCTAATAATGAGTCAGGAAAACACTGCGCTAGCAACTTGGCAATAGCAGCTAGCTCTCGTCAGGGTACGTTCGCGTTTGTCTAACAAAATCTTGAAACTTACCATGGTAAAATGTGTCGTGATGGCTGGTAAACTCTGTGTTTGCCTTCTCTCGTTGTTCTTTTTTCCTATGGGATCAGTTCCACTGCCGCTATTCGCGTCTCTTTTCTCCTCCTCTGCGTGTTTTTGCTCTTGTTGCTAACTGCGACCGCGGCTGCGCTTCGTTCGCACAAAGATCAGCTCAGTAGCCACCAAATCAGGACGCATTCACGAGTCATCGGAAATGTTGATGATAAAGCCATTACGCCGGAATCATACGTTTTTAAAGTAAAAACATTTTATAAACATTTCGAAAGACCGTTAATTTCCTCATTGTAGGATCTTTAAGGTCCAATAATCTAATCATTGTAAGATTTGATGTGATTCGAGTCTATATCTTCAACTTTATTTCATTTTCTTGCACCTTCATATGTACACCAAACGTTCAGATTTTTTTAAAGAAAAGGTTTTACGGTCTTCATCTTTTTCAGTTTAAAACGCCTGTCCAATGCATTTTTTAAAAAAAAACGAAAAAATCTCAAACGAATATGAACAAAAATAATACAGAAATATATATACAAATTAACAGGTACCTACGTTTGTTTTAATATTTGGTCCATATCCATTATTTGTAAATTCCCGGTTTTAACTGGTTACGTGAACGCACCTTGAGCGTCACAGAATGGCGTCTTCAGTGAGGACTACAAACATGACAGATTAGAAGAGCAGAGCTGAAACGCATGCGCAATACAGTGCCTCAGTCACCTAACATGACATTTTCAGTGTTAATGCAGAACTGTATGTCTGGCGTTTTTAGTTTGTTAATATGACATCATATGTTGTTGAGAATTAATTATAGATATCTAATTTAAATTAGCCATGATCATTATTTTATTATCATCATTATCATCATTACTGAGAAGTTGACAACGCGCTTGCAATGTCTGTGAAATGGTAAAACTCGACCTCTGCTGGTTGAAAGGAGAATGACCTGACACTGTGTTACTTCATTATACAAAAATATATAATGAACAAATAAACTTGAGGCAATTGTAACAAAATAGACCAATAATCCTATTAATGTTTACAATTAAATGTATTTATTCATCTCTTACAGTTGCGTTGACAGTCCATTACATTATGTTTACATACGAGGACAAACGTTCGTCTCACATAAACTCCTAAAGATAATTAGGTAAAAACAACGCACTTCAACTTATATTTTCAAGAAACTCAAAAAAAAAAACATTAAATTTGATATTTCACGTTTTTATCATTTTAAGATAGAATTTTCTCTGCAGTTTGTTCTCGTGTAACTGTAGTAAAATGTGTGTGTTTACAGACTATTTATATACGGTACACCGGTCCTCCAGAGCTGTGTGTGGTGCTGTCTCGCCTCTGCCTCTCTGTAATAAAAAAAATCTTCTGCCTTATTTTCTTCCATTGCGTTTCTCCAACACCACCAGCAGCAGTAACGGATTCAACAGGCCAAGGCAGCCGCTGCACAGTGGCCGCAGACCGGCTACATTTCTAACGAGGAGCCGGCTGCAGGTGGAAGTGGAGCTGGCGGCGGAGAGCGGGCGACGCGTCCGCCTGATGGATGCTAGATTACCGGCCCGTTCCTCCGGGGAAGAGCCGGGGCTGCGGATGAAACCCTAAAAACAAGTGCGACACACACACACACACACATACACTCACAGACACACACACGCACACCATATAAACAGGCCTGTCTGGCTCGCTGCTCGGCAACTTTGCGTGCGCGTCTTTGCGCACGGGATCGGAAGCAGATACAGAGGTGAGGCTACTGCTGCTTCTACCCTTATTATTAATGCGAGGGGGAGACAGGAGGGCGACGCGCTGTCAGACGAGGAAGTTTGTTTCCGGACACGCACGCATACACTTATCACACCCGTCGTCTGAGGCTCATCTGGCTGAAAACATGCGCTTCTCCGCGGCGGAAACACAGGGACGCAGGCCGGAGTGAAGCTGCTAGAGGAGGCCAAGCACTAAGGTAGGAGCAGGAGTAGCAGGAGGTGAAAGGGTGTGTGTGGAGCACCAACGCTGACTATACAATTTGTCCAGAAACGTCACCTCATAATCTGATATTTTACGCGTTTAGCTCTCATTGTTCAACATATGTTTCATTCACATTCACATTTTCAACAGTCACATGGTTGTTTTGTTTTGGGCCTAATATTGCGTTTTATTGTCACACACGCCGCCGTGGTCGTGTACAGGCAGCTGCGGTGCCAGATGTGAGCGCAGCTGCGTGGAGCGGCACCTGCTGCGCGCCCCGAATGTTTTTGGGTCATCAATTAATCCTACCCACTTTCTAATCTATTCACAAACACACAGACGTCCACTTGTCTGAGATAGATAAATGCAGAAATTTTAATTTGGTCGCAATTGAAAAAAAAAATTAGAAATACTTTATCACGACCACTGTGTGGCGCTTTAGCCATGAAACAAATCTAACTCGCTCTTGATTTAGTCAAGCCATATATACTGCGGAAATTAATCTCGTTTATAATTTGTTTTAATCATTTATCCAAGAGTGGTTTTTCAAAAGGGCAGAGCAACGAATGACATAGAATGTGTGTTCACTTTTGTCCAGTCATTAAAAAAATTTAAATCTTGTCTCCAACAATAACAACCCTACAAGGTAAGTGTTTGAGTTTGGCTTATAAATATTCATGTGCATGAATAAATTATATTTTTAATTTGTATTTTGTTCTATTAAGTTTTAGGAAGTTTTCTCAAAATGTGGTTGGTAGTAGACACTTCTGATCTTGGATTCAATTTGACCCCCGCCCCCTCTTCTGTTGCTGTTGTTTTCTTCCTTTCTTCACCCCTCTCCCCTCTGCCCTCCCCCTTTCCTCCCTCTCTCTCTCTGTCTTCCAGTGCTAACCTGTTGAAGAATGGAGCCAAATCCTCCTCATCAGAACCATTCCGTTTGTTCCGAGGGCATCAGTGGGGTCGCGCCCCCTCAGGCCCCTCCCACTTCCACACCTGACTCCAACACATCTTCCTCCACCACGCCCACCACACCCATCCCTCCTCGTCTCACCCCCAACCCTTTGCTTCTTGACTCCCCCGTGTCTGCGTCCACACCCACCACATCCTCCCCTCCTCCCCCTCTCACCCCCGCCCCCTCCGTCTCCTCATCTCACGGGCCAAAGTCAGCAGGCACGGTGACATCTCCCCACATTCTGGTTCCAGCACCTCCTAAACTCACCCCTACTGCCACACCTACCCTCAGGACCTACTCCCGCCCCATCCTTCCCTCACCCTCCGTCTCTAAAACACCCCCTTCAGCTCACTCCTCAGCTGCTACTGCTGCCCACGCCATCACCGCCTCCGCCTCTCCCCTCGTCTCCTCCTCCTCCGCTCCGTCTACTACACAGACATCAGCGGCTGTCAGCACCTCCTCCAAGACCTCCACCAGCCTGACCAATGGAATCACCAGGCCCGTGTCCACGCCCACCTCCACACAAATCACACCATTTCACACACCAGCAAGTCCACCAGGCAGACAGGTGACGTTCACACACACACACACACGTGCGCTCTGAGTTTGTTATTTCTTTTATCTCTTTTCGTCCTCATCACTGGTAGCTTTCCTAATTGTTGTCTTACAATTTTTTTCCAGGCGCCACAGTCACACCCTGCAGGCTCACCTGGTCTGGTGCGAGCCAATCAGAGCTCGCCACCTGTCAGGCAACGAGTTTCCCAGCAGACTCTGCTTCTAGGGAAAGGTCTCAAAGGGTCTGGTCAAGACCAGGTGCTGCTCCGAGCTCAGATGGTAAACATACAAACAAGCACACACACACACACACACACACACTCTGACAGTTCTGTCTCTGATTGGACCTCCCTCTGTTTATTTCCTTCTCTGTTTCTTTCCCCTGTCGTTTTTTCCTCCACAGCTGATTCTTACATCTGCTATGCGACCTGCTTCTTCCTCCTCTAGCTCCTCCTCCTCTTCTTCCCTCTCCTCTAACCCTGCTTCTGCCCAGGTGAGCGCCCCCCCTCAGTTGTGCCTGTATGGTTTGTGGTGTCGTCATATTTGATATTGCTCACGCTACATCAAAGCCCACAGGTTTTTTGATTTATAGATTTGTCGAATTAAAACTTTTATTCAGATTTATAATTTCAATGTCTGTAATGATGTTTAAAGGTGAGACCTTCCTCTGAATGAAGTCAGGATTTGTTACTTTTGACATCTAACTCTCTCTCACTCTTCCCAGCTCCAGAGTCTCAGCCTCAGACCTCCTCCTCCACCACCTCCTCCTCTTGCTCCACCCTCCAGTACAGCACTTACCCTGCCCCCGACCCTCCGTCTCAAGCCTTCATCGTCCTCAGCACCACCACCACCACTTTCTCGCCCTAATGCCCCGCTGTTCCCACCTCTAAGGCCTCGACCGCAGCCAAATACCACAGTGACAGAAAGTCCAACCACGCCTATTCGCCATCTCTCTGTCCCACCTCCAAGTAAGTTCTGCTGGGGTTAGGGATGTGGTGGGTGTTGACAATTCTCTGCCAACTTTGCCCGCTTGGTTATCAAATGTCCAGCTAGATCTGACCGTCTGTTCTAACTTCCTGTTCTCCATATTCCTGCAGCTCTGTACTCTCCGGTGCGAGCTGTTCCTCTGAGGCCCAGACTTCACTCACCCAACGGTCACAGAGCATCATCCCCATGTCAGACCTTGACCTTTCAGCCAATCACTGCTCCCCCTAGCAGTCAGGCAACATCTAACAACCGGCCCCTGACTGGACTCAAGAATGGTACCTCAACTTCAAATGTGTCCAGTTCTGCTCAACCCTTGAAAAACCCATCAGCTCCATTGCACTTTGATCGTCCGCCGTCGGCAGCGAGACAGCTGCAGATCATAGCCCTCTCCTCAGGCCGCCAGCAACAACCAGGAACGTTTGGCCAAAGTACGTTGCAGTCATCTCCACCTCCACCTCCACCTCCACCTCCTATGGTTACTGGGCTCTCTGAACTCTCCAGGCTGTCAAAACGGACATTAAGCAGCGATGACACAATTCCTCTTCCTCTAAAAACGACACCCCTTCTGTCTTCGCCGCCGTCACTCAAAAGTCCAGCCTCTCCGCCAACTCACAGAGGACCAAAGGAGAGCTTGGAGTTTGGAGGACGAGGGGCTGGTCTGGTAATCAAAGAGGAGGCGGGTGTTAGTAAGGACCTGAGATTGGTTAAAAATGACCAAAAAGAGAAGGAGGTGGAGCAGAAGGAGTGGACGGCTACCAAGAAGGAACAGGAGGTGGAGCCAATAAGCAAAGAGGAGAAGGAGGAAAAGATGGAGGCGATGGAGAAAGGACAGGATAAACAGGAGGACAGCAAGGTGAAGAAAAAGATCGTGGAAGACAAGGAGGAGAAGGAGAAGGAGCAGGCACACAGTGCCATAAATCTGCCTGTGAAACTGACCACTAATCAGCTTCTCCATCAGAACCAGAATCCAGATCCCATTCTAAGATCTGACACCGTAAAAGACTCGACTACAGAGCTCAAACCCAGTCTGGGTCCTTTTACCTCTTCTCTTTCACAGCAGACCTCAGTTCCAGTCCAAGCTCCGATTCCAGTCCAGATTTCTATACCAGTTCAAATCCCAGTCCCGGTCCCAGTCCCAGTCCAAATCCCAGTCCCGGTCACAGTCCCAGTCCAACTCCCTGTCCCGATGCAGTCTCCCGTACCGGTGCAGAACTCTCACCCTGTTCAAATCCCAGTCCCTGCAGCACCTCCTGTCTCAGATGTCAGTGTCCAAGGTCAGAGGCTGCAGGAGTCACAGCGAGAGCTGGTGTCTGTCAGTCAGGAGGACTTCTGTGAAAACATGTCCATACAGTCGGCAGAGTCAGGTACACACACACACACACACACAGAACAACATAGAAACAAACCCAGATCTGTAAACCTCTCACTCCAAAGTCCAAACTAACTTTTGTTATCTCTCTCTCTCTCTCTCTCTCTCTCTCTCTCTCTCTGTCCAGCTGTGTCCAGTCTTTCTTCTCAGTCTCCGCCTGTATCTCCTGTGGTCGTCACACCATCAGCAGAAAAACTTCCTCCTCTCCTCCCCGTACAGCAGCCTGAGAACGATGATGATGCAGTGGTTGGATCAGCGTCACAACTAGAGCAGCAGCAGCAGCAGAGCCAGCAGCTGTCTGACGCCCGACCCAAGCTTCTTCTTTTCAACCAATCAGAAGAGGAGGCAGAGGGCGTCAACCAATCCCTGAGCAGCCCCTGGGAGCCAAGGGAGTGGCCAGAAGGACGAGAGGTTCTGACTCACCTGGTTGAAGGTTTTGTCATCCAGGAGGGACTGGCCCCGTTCCCTGTACGTACACCTGTCAAATGCCATGTAGGTAGAATTATACAAAGAAAAATCTAAAAAAAGATAAAAAAGTTCAGTGAATCTAAATATTTAACAAAATAGCTACAATCCTGCTGCTAAAACATAAAGCTAAAAGTTAGCTAAATCAACAGCTTTTCAGCTCCATTTTCAGTTCAAGTCTCGTACTGTTAGGGTCGTTAACATCACGGTGACATGTTGGTGACGTGATGTTGTTCCAGGTGAACCGTTCCTCGTTGCTACTTCCTGAGCAAGTCCCGCCCACACAGGAAGTAAACGGGGCCGATGGAGGAGCAGCAGAGGTGACAGAATCCTCATCGTCGTCATTACCTGTGACAGAAAAAAGGAAAGCACAGGAGCACTCCACCGACTCGGAGGAGGAGGACGGGGGTGACGCAGACAACGTCAAGAGCAGTGAGAGTCAACGTTTGTAAAACTGATTCAGCACAAAATTAAAGAGCCCTAAAGGGACAGTTCAGGGTTTTTTTTAGTGGCATAATATAATAAGGAACCATGTTGAGATGTCACAGAACGATTACTGACACCAGCTTCAACCACCTCCTCCCTCTGTCTCAGGGTCAACTCATCGGGAGAGAACGGTGCTGCACTGTCAGTTCTGTGGTAAGAGAGGCCACGCCCACAACTTCATGAGGTCCAAACGCTTTTGCTCCACATCCTGTGCACGCGGGTGAGTCATGGAGGATGCAACTGGCTGTGGTCACGGTGATAAAAGTCTTCACCGCGGCCCATCTGATTCTCTGCCTGTGTGTTTGTCAGGTTCAACGTCCGTCTGACAAAACGTCTGCGGGCTCTGAGTGCAGGCGGGCGTTCAGAGCGACCACGGCCTGCACTGAACAGGGCAGAGTCTGTGCCTGGGAAGCCTTTGTTACTGCGGCTGGTAAAAAAAAAAAATTACTCAACTTGCTGTTCAAAGAGTCTGCAGAAAAAAAATAGTAAACCATTGATTTTTGATGCAGGACACGCTGTTCAAAGAGTCTGCAGAAAAAAAACTGAACAAAAAAGTTTGTGAACCATTGATTTGTGATGCAGGACATGGAGTGGTTTAAAAACTTTTTGCCAGGCCCGAAATATTCTGCATGCATTAACCACAAAAAATACTTTTTAAAAAAAAATATCTCCAACTCACCTGTTTGTTCCCACAGCCTCGGGATCTGTGGAGCGCAGGTCGGCGTGAGAAAGAGGAGAAAGAAAAGGAGGCCATGGCAGTGGAGGAGGAGGAGCAGGAGGAGGAAGAAGCGTACGAAGAAGAAGAGGAGGAAGAGGAAGACATGGAAGTTGGAGGAGGAGAGGAAGAGGAAGAGGATGAAGATCAAGAGGGTGAAGATGACTCCACCTCTGCCCCCATCAGCACCATGGTGACAGCGAGGGTGGAGCACGCCAGAGTGGGCAGAGCGAGAAGGGCGTCGGCGCCGGCCATGACCACACCCACCTTTACGTACAAGCCTTCCCCCTCTGAGTGGAGTGTGGAGGAAGTCTCCGCCTTCATCCACACTTTGCCAGGTTAGAGTTTATGCTCCACCCCCTTCACTGGTGTCACTTTGATTTATTTTTTACAGCAGCACTGCAGCATCCTAATCACCACCAGACGACTCCTGGCTCATCCCAACGTTTCTCCAATTAAATCGTGTTGCAAAAAAAAAAAAATGCAGTAAATAACCACTGGGTGAAGTAACGCACATACTTTTGAAACTAGCAGAGAAACATCTGGGGGAGAAAAAGATGAAAATACTCCGTTCTCACCACAGAAACAGATCAGTTTTAACTTTAGACCCTAATATTACATTAGTTTTAACTGATTAGAGACGACCTTGTGGTTTTAACACTGGTGTTTAGTCATTCATCAAGAGTACGTCAGTTTAAAGAGTACGGTTGTCTGAGGTCATTAGAGTTGGACCATTCTTCCTTGTGGACGTTTGTATTTTCTACACCTTCAGAGCGGGGTCGGTCCAAGTGTTGTGTTTTTTTACCTGATTGTCTTCCTCACCTCAGACTTTTGTTTCTCTCCGTTTCATCGCAGGTTGCAGAGACGTAGCAGAGGCCTTCAGGCTGCAGGAGATCGACGGCCAGGCTCTGCTGCTGCTGACTGAGGACCACCTAATGACCAGCATGAACATTAAACTGGGACCAGCACTGAAGATCTGTGCTCATATCAATGCACTGAAAAACCAGTGAAAAAAAAGAAACAGACAACAGGAGGAGGGGAGGGAGAGAAAGAGGGGGAGTGGAGGGAGAAGGACCAAAAGGAAAATAGAAAATAGATGTGGGGGGGGCAGGAAGATTCAGAAGAACATAAATGACATCAGGATGGATGTAAGAAGAAGAAGAACACGCAGAGAGACTTTTGTAAAAAGTAAGAGCAACAATAACTGTGGGGGTGAGAAGAAGAATGAGGAAGAGGAGAGGAAGAAAAAATATTTTAGGAAGATACTGAAGAACTGATTAGAACTGTAATTAAAAAGATTGAGAAGAGAAAAAAATTACCAAGAAAAGGAGTAGAAAATGTAAAAAAAACAAGGATAAAAAAAGGAATACAACAAAAGGTGGACATGGACAAAACAGAGTAGCAAAACAACATCCAGGTTAAAAAAGACACAAAGCACTAATGACAAAGAAGTTGGGAAAGAAGAAAAGAAAAATAAGATTTAACATGAACGGAAATCCACCAAAAATGTAAAACAAACACAAAAAAAGAAACATAAAAGCTGGATTTCAAAGAAAAAAGTACAACGGTTAAACCGAGGCGTGGTCTCAGATTGTGAATTGTAGCAGGGCACCACCACCAGGGGGCGGGGTTTGTAACTTTGTGTATATTTTCCACGCTGCTGGAGTGTAAAAATGTGAAGCTATTTCACCAAGGATTTTCAAACATTTAATATATTAAAAAAATCGTCTATATTTAGTTTTTTTTTAGAGTGTGACGTCACTGACCAGTAGCTGTAACCTAACTCGCTGTGTCTGCCAGGAAATAATATTCATAATAATAACAATAATAATGATGAAGACAAACATAGACCTGTAAGTGATTGATTAAAGTTTTACCGTTTTATAAAATGATAATCTGGACACAAACATGTCTGTGGATTAAAAAAAACTATCAGGGTGGAGGCAAGTGTCTTCAATCGTCACATTTTTATGGTTCACCGCTCAAAATTTATTTAATAAATGATGAATTTAATCAAAGCTCCAAAGTGTGTGGTCAATTTAATCCAAAAACAATAAGAAATCAACGGTTTGATGCAAAGAGTTCGTGATTAGATGAAGTCTCATGTGTAAAGACCAGTAGGGGGCCTCAGTGAGCCAGGTGATGCGGTCTAACGTGGAACGCTATTTGAATTCACCCTGAATCTTTCAGTTCCTTCCTGCAGCCTTTTAAGATTCAAAGCGTGAAATCAGCAGACGCGGCTGCTGACGAGGTCAGGTTTTTGTTTTTCTGTCCTGCTGCCACTGCTCATCCCTCTGTGTCTGGTTTAAGTTACAGTTTCATATCATCCTCGCCTCTGATTGGCTCAGCTTTTGGACCCGGGGCTCAGTCGTTCCACCACACCCTGCAGATAAATCTTATTCTGGGCATTTGGCGTATAGCGTTTAGTCTGGGGCGAACCGGCGGGACGCAGCAGGGATTTAATTTTAAAATTCAACACTGAACCTGATTAGACATTTTTAATTAATATTTGTTTCTATGAAATATTTTATCAACTAAAATCATTTTTATAATTTTAGGAGTACATACATTTTTGTCGATTTATTTCTTTGGGACTTTTTCTAAACGTTTTGTGCGTAAAATTACTTTTTCTATTTAAAGTCACGTTTTTTTTATTATTCCAAAAGTCTATTTAAACGCTGATCATTTTTCTGCCTTTTTTTTTTTAACTTTTTTTTAAACTTTTTTGTAAAAGCGCTCCGCGGCTCCACATGGCGCTGATGTGCAGACAGTTGTGCAGCGGCGCAGCCACAACTGCGGGCTGGGTCGGTGTCATCGTGGCCACGGTCACCAACGACTGGGTCAGAACCTGCGACTACACGGTGGCGACGTGCGTGCGCATGGACGAGCTGGGCTCCCGTGGTCTGTGGGCTGAGTGCGTCATCTCCCCGTCACTGTCCCACTGTGTGGCGCTAAACCAAATTCTGTCCCTGCCGGGTAAGAGAGAGACTTGGGGGGGGGGGCTGGGGGGGGGATGATGGGTGTAAAACCGTATTGTTCCTCAAACCAAATAGTTTCACTAGAGCATGTCTTTAATTAACTTTAATGATGGGGGGGACGGAGGGGGGACAAGGGGAGGGGACTTCTGGTTTACTGTTGACCCTGATCAGTAGCCACATTGGTCAATTCAAGGTGAAAACGATTAGTAGCTAAAATAAGACAAATAACAAAGCGACATATGCATTAAACGGCGTTTGAAACGTTTAGGAAGACTGTGAGTGTTCTACTGCCCCACGTGGTCAATTCGTAACACTGAGGAAAACCTCTCCAATCTCGTCAAACTCATGAAAATGTGCAGTAGTTAAACCAAAAAAAAAAAAAATCACCAATTGACCTAAACCTCAGCCCAGGTCTGGTTGCAGGTCTAACTCTGAGTCTCTCTCAGCCTACGTCCAGACGGCTCGTGCACTGATGATCTGTGCCTGTCTCCTGGGACTCCCTGCCATCATGCTGGTCCTGATGTCCATGTACTGCATCAGGCTGCCCAATGACACGTCAGCCGTGAAAATGAAGCGGGCCAGAGTGGGCGGAGTTCTTTTTATTCTAATGTGTAAGCAGAAAAACACACAACGGCAGAGTTTGAAGGACAGGTGTACAGAGCAGATGTTTCTAGATGGATCTTCACACTGTCAATCACCTGATCTCCAGCATTCCTCCTCCTCTGTCTTTTGCAGCCGTGTGTGGCATCATCGCCACCGTGTGGTTTCCCATCGGCTCCTACCAGAATGAGGGTCTGATGTCATTTGGGTATTCGCTCTACGCCGGCTGGATTGGTTCCGGCCTCTGCCTCGTCGGTGGGATCATGATCTTGTGTTGCTCCAGCCCTGACTCCTGGATGCCGAGCCGTGAGAACAGTTTCTACTACTCCAGAAATCGAGGAACAGCTACACCACTGGACCCGCCCGCCAACCACCCCAAGAGTGCCAGGGTGTGAGATGTGGACTCTTAACTATCGCTTTAAAATTCACGCGGCGAGGGCGTTTATTATCCCTGTAAAATAAAAACCTGAGTGCAAAATGTCCTGCCAAGATATCAGACTGTCATATTTGTAGGCCTTAGATACTGCATATTTCCATATTTGACAAAAGCTAACCAATATTAGCTCACGTATAGCCAAAGACTAGCTCAGTAATGGCTTTCAGTTAGTCATAAATGACTGTTAGCTACTCATATAACAGTCTATTAGAAGTCAAATGTTCTGAATGTTTCTAACCAATATTCAAAAAGAGCCACGTTTGAATTTGAGAATTAATACAATTAAATGAAATTATTAAAAATAATTCACATTCAGCTAAAGTTTGAAACAAGTCCAACAAGTGCAAAAAAAAAAAAAAAGCTTAATTTAGTCACGCTTAAACTAACCCTGGGTATTACTTATATGGCAACATTAGTAGAATTGTATTAAATAGTCAGAAGCTGAAAGTTACATCTGTTCATAACAAAAGAGTGATTGTGAATTTTCTATTCCATAATGTGTTGTTTCAAGGATTCACTGGTTTTCTTAACAATGTGTTTTTACCTTTTATAGTCCAAGGTATTTTTTCAACTTTTTACAGATACTGTTGTTAATATTTTATCAACTTTCTTCTATACTTTAATGTAATCACATTTCTTTTTTAGACACAGCATAATATCAACTATGTAATCACTGTGTATTCACTCTGCAGTTCTTTGTTTGTTGTCAGAATTAATTAAAAAAAGGTTTCTTTTCACTTCATTTATTCCTCTAACGCCAACAACTCGAACCTTCAACGTCGTCATCTGTTGTCGCAGACAGGACAGCGAGACAGTGTTAAAGCAACATCAAAGTAATAAATATCATTCACATTAAGAGACACCTTATAAAACAAATCATCTTTTCATCAAGTATGGCCAAAAAAAAAAAAATCACACTATTGTAAGACTGCACTGAAATTAAAATTTAAAGTCACTTTTTTAACTTTTTTTAGCATAAAGTACAGCTAATAAAATGTACTTAAATCTACTCAAGTGTGATTGGACGTTGCTGCATTAATCACACCATTACAAAACTTTTGAACCGCTGTAGTAAATGTAGTAAATCTCCCAGAGTTCATTCAGAATTTCAGTCATTTTAGCTCACACAGCTGCTGGTCTCCTTCTGTCTTGTCTGATCACATTAATTTATTGTTGTTTTTGTTTTAATACACTGATAGAGGCAGCCAGGGAGCCACAACTGCTGTAAAACTGATGTAAAATCTTAGTAATGTTACATTTTATTGTGAAAGAAACACTAACTAACCACACAAAGCACCATCGCTGTGATGTGTTCTGTACAAACTGGACCGGTTCACGGCTCTACCTGGTTTTTTTCCTGTTGATTTTACTGGCAGCCATGTTTATACTGAAAACCTCCCTCTGTGTCTCAGGCTTGTTGTAGCAGCAGGGGGCGCTCACAGTGCAGTTAGTACCTCATAAACCCACACTTTAAAAACAAAACCCTAAATTCTCCCATTAAGTCTTTACTGGACCACGAAGAGACGCCGAAGCCTCAGTCGTAGTCTTCATCAGCATCAAAGCCCTGATTGGTCCTCCCTCTGGAACGCTCAGCTCTAAACCCGCCCCTTCCTCCTGACTGGTACCCATGCTGCTCACCACTCTCTTCATAGTCCCCGGCCTCTTCCTCCTGGTACTGGTTGTCCTGTTGGTGCTGGTGTCCCCTCTCCTCTGGTGCAGACCAGCCCTGGTACGGTGTTTCAGCCTGGTCCTGAGGATAAAGGTCGTCGTCAGGGGAGAAGGTGTCGTCCAGGTGATCGTCATAGCGTCGGTAGGAGCTGGCGTGGACCTGCTCCTCGCGGGCGTTCAGCTCCAGTGTGCTGTGCCACACTCCGTAACAGCCGTAGATCAACAAACCTGCGGGGCGTGGACGGGGCAGTCTGAGTTAAAGGGACAATTCAAGTTCTACATCACTCAATTCTACAACATCTAATGAACATGTACTCTTCATCTTTATGCCTCGTGTGGTCAGGTTGTGTTACTGCAAGGTGTCCAGTAAAGAAATCCAAATCGTGTCTAGTGTTCATTATAGACACTTTAGTGTGAAAGGGCGAGTGGTCAGGTTGTGTTACTGCAAGGTGTCAAGTAAAGAACTCCAAATCGTGTCTAGTTCTAGTGTGAAAGGGTGAGCAGTTAAACTCTAAAAATAAGATAAAGCAAAAGAAAGCTTAAAGGATTTAAACTGAGTGACGGTTGAGACGTCTCACAGAAAAATGTGGAGAAAAAGCTCTCATCTGTGAGCCAGATCCTACAGAACACAGGGTTTTTTATCTGTCCGTTCAGGAGACGGTGGTGTAGATAATGAAAACACTATGTGCGACAGGTTGAGGACTAAAGTTAGCAGACTTGTTCTGAGTCATCTTGGGGACTAAAAGAGAGTCCCTAAATGTTTTTATTACAGACCACAGAGGCGTCACGGTGAAGAAGCTCAGCTAACATGTTCAAACAGATGTTTTTCTGATCGTTCTTACATCTGGACTGTAAGAAGAATGTGTCATAATGTGAATTATTACATACGAGAAGGTAACGCTAGACTGAACTTCAAACTTTCTTCACGAACACAGTTATTTGGTTCCACGACGTTTGTTGAGTCGTTCAGACTTTACTGATGACCTGTCAACTCACCTATGAGGCACCAGATGGTGAACCTGATCCAGGTCAGCGGCGACAGTTTGAGCATGAGGTAGCTGTTGACTATTATGGCTGCTGCAGGGACAAAAGGCACACACGGTGCCATGTAGGGCAGTTTACGTGGACTCTCCGGCTGCTGGAGAATCACAATGATCAGTTTAGCCATGGATGCTGACATTGCTGCGGCCGTCAGCCCAGAGAACGCCGCATTAACCCCTGCTGACTGCTCTACGCCGAAGATGATGGTGGACCACAAGAGGAAGGACATGAAAAAGAGGAGGAGGGTGCATCGGGTCACTGTGCGCCCAGTGGCAGGCGTGGGCCGGGCCGAGGCGTCAGGCATTCCCAGTCGCAGCCTCAGGGTGTAGTAATGGCCTCCCAGGAGCCTTTTCATCAGGGAGGCGTGGCCTGTGTGAAACTCAGAGTCGTCTCCTTCACCTTCAGTCCTACCGGCATGATAGGACGAGGACTCGTCTCCGTCTATCAGCATTTGGTCGTCCTTCGTGACCTCAGAGGCCTCTTCCTGTTGCAGGATAACACCATCCACATTCTCGGGGTCCACCTGGTGTGTGTCCGTCTGCTCGTCAGGCTGGTAGCGCAGCAGAAGCACACACACGCTGACCAGGGTGTAGGCCAGAAGAGTGCCGATGGACATCATCTCAATCAGGTCACGAAGGCTGACCAGGAGGGCCAGGATGGCAGCCAGACTCCCCGACACGATGCAGGCCACAATGGGGGTGTGTGTCAGGGTCGACACATAAGCCAAGAACCTGCAGACAGAAGTGCTGAAGTCACTTTACATACAGTACAGACAAACACATTTCTTCCTCTCACTGAAGTTCAGGTTAAAGTCGTAACTTTCAAATTCTCCATGGTATCTAACAGGTATCTTCCCACCTGAACAGCAGGCCATCCCGCGCCATGGCATATATGACCCTGGGCATCGGAAACAAGGAGCCCAGCAGGGAGACTGTGAGCCCCGCGATGGCACCAACAGCCATTGTGTATTTCCCCCACGGGAAGCCATGCACCGCAAACATCTCCATGAGTGGAGCCGAGCCGTCGATCAGGTCGTAGGGAACCATGAGGGTCAGGATCACACTGACCTACAGTAAATAAGAAGATACAGTTACAGAATCTTCTGGATCTAATGAAAAAACATGAAGGTAACGGTAAGCACTGACCGACACATAAGCAGTGAGACAGGTGACCAGTGAGGCGGTGATGGCATACGGGATGGAAGTGTTTGGGTTTTTGGCCTCTTCCCCTGTGGTAGCAATGATGTCGAAGCCGATGAAAGCGTAGAAGCAGGTAGCAGCTCCCTTCATCACCTAAACTCAGCAGAACAGAACACCTCCGTTATTTCCCCTTAACCATCTCACTCCAGAACATTCGACCACCACGGTTGAGTATCTCACCCCCGACCAGCCGTAGGGCAGGAAGTTGCCCGCTTCCCAGTTTTTGGCGGAGATGAAAAAGAGTCCAGCGACAATCATGAAGACCCAGACCACCAGGTTGACCACGTTGAGGACGTTGTTGAAGCCAACGGAGTTACGCACCCCGACGGCAATGATGACCGTCACCAACAAGGCAATGAGCAGAGCCAGAAGGTCTGGGTATGTGTCCTCACCTTTACCTGAGGGTTAGCAGTTAGCATTCTTAGGTTGTTAAATTAGCCTCTTCTGTTCACAATGTTCACATTTATGTTGACAGAGTTCCAGAGAATGTATTTAACTGACTGTTTCTTCTCTGTCTGACCAGAAAACGCTGCATTAAAAGACACAGCTAGCATCAAACTCCGGAGGTACTAACCGAGTCCTCGTATCTTGCCGATGTGTGTCATCAGGTAGTTGCTGATGGTGTGATTGGCCAGAGAGTCGAACATGCTGCTGAGAGCTGACGCCCCCGCCGCTGTTCCAATCAGGTACTCCAGGATCAGGTTCCAGCCGATGAAGAAGGCCACAAACTCTCCCACGGTCACATAGCTGTAGGTGTAGGCTGAGCCCGTGGTCTTAGGAACACGGACTCCGAACTCAGCGTAGCACACACCTGAGGGGAAATGTACACACTTTACTCTGAGGTGTACTGCAATATATTAAACTGAGTCATTTAAGCTGGCAAGGATGTACATTTTTTTAAACAAAACTTTTTAAATTTTCATGTATTGCCTTATCAGAGTTATCAGCCTTTTAAGGTAGTTTAAAAAACAACAGCAGCAGTGGTTCTCCCACACCAAAGTCCATGGAGAAATTTAAGATTCAAGCCACACACAAACAAACAATTTCAGACATGAAACTCTCAAGCCACACACAAACAAACAATTTCAACTGATACATTTATACAAGTGAATTAGTTGAATTGGTGGCTTAACAACTCCACTGTGCTGTGATGTAAACATATGACTTCCACGGACCACTGACCTGACAGTATAGATGCCACCGCTGCGATGATGAATGACAGGATGACCCCTGGACCAGCCATGTTCTTGGCCACCAGCCCAGCGACCACATACATCCCTGTGCCCACGCAGCTGCCCACACCGAGGGACACCAGGTCCACGGTGGTTAGAACCTTAGCCAACCCTACTTCTGAGCCCTCCCCCATCTCCGTGAGTTCGTCAGAGTCCCGGGCCATGGAGCCCACAGGTTTGGTCCGCAGCAGGCGGCTGCACAGGTTGTACCAGGCATCACCCAGAGACACTCGGCCCAGCCACGCCGCCATCACTGCCGACTGTTTACTGTAGGGTTCTGTCGAAGTCTTGGGTCAACGCTGCTTTCTTTGTCGTGTTGCTTCCACGGTCATTCTGTCAGAGTTTTCAGGATCTACTTCATCTGATGTCGTCCTTCATAAAGAAGTCATAAAGAAACAAGTGTTGGAGTTTAGAACGGACCAGAACACAATCATTCTCACTCTGATGTTTTTTTGGGGACTGCACCAACTGTAAATACCCAATAATTGTTTTAATTTTTGTTATCTAATGATTGCAGACGTTTTGCAATAAATAAGTTAGCCTGTAACCATCAGAGAGCAAGTGATGATGGGATACCATCGGCTGTTCTCTTCACTCACTAGAGCGGGACTCAAACTCTGAAACATTGATGAAGACGGAGGCTCAGCTTTCACAACGGAAACTCCAAACTTAGGCACGGAGACTTGAAGCAACGGCCAAAAACTAAAACCTTTAAAGATGATAAAAAAGACCAGTTCAGACCTGTGTGAGTTACTGACAGTGGAATTCCCGAGAATAAAACTGATACAGACCAGAGTGTAAAGAGAAAAGAGATGGTTTCAGCTTTGCAGGGACGCAGAAGCTGATGGTCAACTGCTGCCTCATGTGGTCAGTTTTTGCATTTCACAGAAATCCAAAAGCTTTAAACTTTAGGTGAAGGCAACCATCAGTGGCTCATTTTAAAAAAAATTATATTAGATAAAAAAGCCCACAAAGGACGAACAGTGGACATCATATGACTGACAGCTGATACTGTCCAACAGAAGAAGACGAGTGACCAATTAAAAATCTTAAGTTTCAAACACTTACTGCTCTTCTTCTTCTCCGTTCTTCTGACCGTTGTCTTCACCTTTTTGCCGATCTACAGGAAGTGATGATGAGAGGAGAAGCTGGTGTTAAACATTCAGAGCTGAGGACCATGTGACCAAACTGATCAAATATTCAACACCTGAAAGAAACACAGCAGGTACCGCAGGGTGTGTGTGTGTGTGTGTGTGTGTGTGTGAGTCCACTGGAACTTCTGCCTTCACTTAATCATCAGGTTTTTGTTTTTGTTTTACTTTTTGATCCTGTGAAATGCTGTATATTTCAGTGAGATTTTTATTTATTCTTTTTCATTTGTTTTCAACAGGAACTACATCATTGTGGTCAATTTTAGCAAATTTTGATAACTTGAAAACAACTAACTTTTTTTTTTAATTCCAGGCTAACTCACACTAGATTTTTATGGGATAACTTTCAAAATTATTTGGTTCAGATTTCATTATTTTGTCTTGTTTTTTTTTTGTGACAACTTTTCTTTCCAAACTCATGTCAAATTTATTTTTCTGTTCCATAATGTTAGTTATCTTATCTGTTACATTTCAGTAAACTTTGGTCACAGCTGCTGTTCCATAATGTTAGTTATCTTATCTGTTTGGTCACAGCTGCTAGGTTAATATGAAGAGGTGAGAACTCCGCAGGTGTGTGTGTGTGTGTGTGTGTTAGTCTTCACCTGCTTCAGGTTAAACTAAACCCCTCCCACTCACTCCCTCCACACGTCATCAAAAAGCTGAGTTCAGACTAGTCATTGAGATGAATCTGCTTCTCTTTATTGACACTGTGTATTAATTAATTAACATTAGTTACAGAAGTTCTTTGGAAATTTCTCTCGTTAATGAACTGATGATGACATCATTTCATTTTACTATCTAACAACATGGACTTCTGTCTAAAGTTTTTTTTTTCATTAGTGTCCAGTTTTGTGACATGTGCGGCGTAAACCAACACTAACATTAATCGTCTCCGTGTATTTACTGAGAGTAACACGACACACACACACACGCTCAGTTTACCGTGTTAGCAGCAGATACAGTAACAGCCTCTGATTAGTTGATGATCCAACCAATCCAGCCAGCTGCAGCACTGGACGGTCCAACCACTGACCACCTCCGTGTTCATGTTGTTATTCAGAGCCAGAACCAGACCTAAACCAGCGGAACGACTAACTGAAACCCAATACGAGGAACTACTAACATGACTGTCTGTCCCCGCTGCTGCTGCTGTGACTGTGACTGTGAGAAGAGCTGCAGGTGTGAACGGTTGATTGACTGGTGATGTGTGTGTTCAGGTGGACCCTGGAAGCTGATTGGTCCTGACAGGAAGGAATGAGTCTGTGTTTAGGAGAGGGAATTCTGCTTAAATCACTGTGTCAGACTGGTAGCGGCCATGTTTGTTGTTGGTAAACACACCTTTAAACTTAAACTCCACTCCGTCGTTTTCATACATGGATATGCAACAGGTTATTCTCAGGGTCACACCAGAAATGTTTTGTTACTAATGTTTTCCCCCCATGTCCCTTTAAAGGCTCTGTAGATTTTTAACATTTAAATAATGAATCTGTAGGTTAATTTCAAATTAATTTATTCCCTAAAACCGAATAGACTGTGTAGGCTTGACCCTGTTCTGTCTGGGACTTGGATCTGGTCCCGCTCACTCATCTGTTGCAGATAAAACCTTAGGAATTTTTCTTCCTCCACTTTCTGTAGCAGATGCTGACGCAAAGATTCTGACAATAACACTTTCCAATTCACTGTCACAGGTTTTACAAGGAATATATAAAAAAACAATATCACAAATATGCACCGATGTCCAAAATGGTCCTTGGAAGGTGATTTAGTTCAAGGACAGATGACATTGTTTTGGTCTGAAAATTATAACTTGTATTTCGCTGGTGAATCTATATATTTTTATCTGATCACTTTATCCAGTCTGATTTCAATATAACCTAATTTTATCTCTAGTTTCACATGTGATTGTTTAATATCATTCATTTTAAATCATACCAATTAGCAATTTATATATGAACAGAAAATCAAAAAACAGGGTCTAACACCCCTTTGTGGAAGTTTAGAGTACTGCAGTACAAGCTCAGAATAATGGAGAAACGTTGGTCGAACTCTTGTCTTTGGAGACATTTTATTTCCTAGAAACGTTGGTCGAACTCTTGTCTTTGAAGACATTTTATTTCCTTATTTCTCTACAGAACAGACAGAAGAGCTGCCACCATCCTGCTGCTGCCTTCCTTTACTCGTCAGCCTCTGACTCCTCGTCTTCCTGACTGATCTGGAAGTAGCGCAGCTCGTATGTTTCTTTGTCCGACGCCACAACCCTGAGCCAGTCTCTCAGATTGTTCTTCTTCAGATACTTCTTGGTCAAGTACTTCAGATATCTGCAGGGCATAGAAACAGAGGAGAAACCTTCTTCATTAGAAAAATATTCTTTAATGTTCTGAAGTTGTTATAAGGTAACAGTTGGATAAACTGTTCTTCAAATGATGGTAACTATTAGACAAGAACCAACACCAGAAAAGTTCACCTTTTGGAGAACTGCTTCTCAGATGTTACATTGATCTTGTTCTTCATACGTCCGACCTGGACCACGTTTCCAAGGTTTCCAGTCTTTCCATTGACCTTGATCCTTTCCTTGAGGAAGGTTTCCTACAGAACAGAGCAGAGTGACACGCTAGGGAAGAGAACCCTAGTCAACAGGGAGCTAGGGAAGGAAGCCCTAGTCCAAACACAGGGTTAGCTGCATTGCATTAAAGGTACACTTCGAGGTCTGTCGACACTGTATCAAGTTTTGTATCACGGAATCAGAGCTGACAATGTTACTACCATGGGCCCCTCTGTTCTAATAACACGTTCACTGGAGTTTTTTCTGTTGGACTAAATTTTACAATAGAAAACTTACAATGTGAAATTGAATTGCAGTAAACTAAAATATAAAAAAATACGAATACAAAAATGCATACAAATGACAATACAAATACAAAAATGCATACAAATGTGCAGATGGAGGCAGCAGTGTGAATTTTGATTACGTGTCAGAACCCAAAACTCCATACCTGAAGTATTCCTTTGGGTCTTAAGATCAAACAACACAACCTCAAAGACAGTAGATCCTATAAATCTTTTTAAAGGTTTTTATGTGTTTTATGTGTGTTCGCTTTAAACACTGCAAAAAATAGACTTACAAAGCTGGATGAGTCTAGGATCCCATCCTCCACAGGGTGGGTCAGGTCCAGGGTGAACTTCCACATAGCTCCCTTTTTGGACCTTTTACCAGTGGGGGGTCTCTTCTGTCTGAGCTGTGACGTCAACAGCACAACACAATTAGAAAACTTGCACGATAATAAAAGAATATAATTCACAGCGTAAGTGACGATTGTTTTTTATGTTTACAGTTAATAAACACAATATTACAAATACCTTCGAGAGTCTTCCACAATTTTCTAACGATTTACTAACAAACGTATAGTGGACGTTTTCTTAAACATTTGAAACTAAGCTTAAAGTGACTGCCAGGTGGACTTGTGAGTGTACTTCTGCTGACAACAATGTACACTGATGTTTTATTTTAATTTGTCAATATTTTCCATCAGGACTTTTGGTACTGTGATGCCGGGTAAAGGATGAATGGGACACGTGTGAGCAGACGTGTCACAAACAAGTTTAGGGATCATATTTTTTGCTTTATCGTCTCATGTATGTTTGTAAAAATGTTTTATAAAGTATTTTAATGTCTCTAAAATAAGAATAAACCAAGTAATGACTGTTAAATCGATCGAATTCTGGATTCGTTTGCTGGACTTACCGGCGCCATGTTGAGGTTTCGGAGAGAAAAGAAAGAACCGGATATGACGAGTCGTAGCGTAATCACAGTGGGCGGTGTTTGTTACGCAACTACCTACCATGTAAGGTCAAGCCCGTGTGATTATCAGGAAGTAGAGAATAGAACGCAGTCAATGCGGGAAATGGCTGCGTTCATATACTTTTTTTTCAGAAAAAATAGTGTTAATTCAGGATTGAGCAGGAATTGTGGGCGTACAAAAAACAAAAAACAAAACACAAACACATGAGGGTGAGCAGGAATTGTGGGCGTACAAAAAAAAAACAACACAAACACATGAGGAATAAAGCTGTTCTGCGTGTGTCATTCTGTTGGGTCTGAAGGCCTATCATAAAATATCTGTACACACTCATAATAAACGCGGGTCTAGTTAATTATTCACATGTTCACACCCATACATATAGCCTTTGAGCACGACTGAAAATAGGCAATGTGATAGAAACACAAATATTAAATTAAATTTGATTATATTCTTTGTGTTCTGCAACTCTCTTTTCATGCACCAATATTCACTTTAAAAGAATAACATTCCCCTGTAGGGCCCAACAGTTATGCCCTCACCTATATATGAGTTCAAACAGTAACCCAAGTTAAACTATTTAAAGGTTTAAATGGCCATGATTGGGCTTTTACTGTAGCATCCCCATCCTGGTACCAGGGCCACTTGTGCGTCAGATACTGCAGAATAGAAAACACTGAGTATGAAAGATACTTGATGACATTCATACACAGGGTGTGTCAGTAACACTCTGTCGCCACACAGCAGCTATTTTACAACTGCACTCTTTAAATGAAATAACACTGAGTCATCAGTTGGTACAGAGGAAAGCAGACTCAGAAATACACAGCCAGTGGCTTAGTTTTTTCTGTTGCTTTAATCCTCCTTCAATCTTACCTTCTGTTTTTATCTAAATATATATATCAAAACATGCAACATTTATGGACAGACTCCTTTAACCTTTTATTTGAATTTCAGCCATCAGCTATTGTATCAACTCCTGATGAAAAGGTACAGACAAAGTGATTTTTCTAGTCACTGTTACATTTGTGATTTATTTCACACATTTATCTAGGGTAATGTAGTTGAGCTACTTTCTGCAGTTATATGGCTCATTCATAGCTCAACAATTTTAGACATTTTGGTTACTGTTTATCACATCTGCAGTCTGCAAAATCCTCTGTCCTGTTTTCAGACACAACTTTAACTTTGTTGTACTTAAAAGCATCAGTTCACACAATGCATTTGCTGAAGGTAGTTACATCTCTCAATCATTCGTAACCTTTCAGCTTTGTTTTCTCACTTCAGTCACATACCTTCCTCGACCCCCATTTACTGTGGGTTGAAAATATTTATTCACATTTGAGTTGTCAAGTCAAACCTGAATAATAGGCATACGTAACAAAGGGCACACTTGGGTACTATGGAATCCTACCTAGACATTTTACACTCAGTTGTGATGAACACCCTTGCAGGCAGTCCTCCAGAGTGGGTTTTTGAAATACCTTAAACAAAACCAGACAGACATAGGTTGGGGTTTTCTTCATTTGTTTCATTATTTTATTGTCCCATCATCTTCAGTCAAGTGACAAAGGCCTCAATTGGGGAAAAAAGAATTTGCACCCCCCCCTCCAAATCTGATCCGAGTCCCTCAAAGATTACACACACTCCTCACTTTAATACCAAGCGAGCACAGAGGCCTGTATCACTGTCCGGCTGCACCGTCACATCGTTAAAACCTAAACATTAAGATTCACTTTACTGGTTGTTGGGAAAGGAAGGAGGCAACAGAATCTTAAACTTTCTACAGACATTAAAAAATATTCAATTAGCTCCTTTCTGCTTGGACTGGGGTAGGTGGGTCCAAGTGGGAAATAGTTCAAAGTGGGAGCGGGTATCTAAACGGAGAGTTACTTAAGTTTGAAAACCTGTGTTGACCTTTCAGTAAGGGCCTTTAAGTGCTCACGGCCATAGGGAAAAAAAAAAGACCTCAGTGAGGTTTTACACCTGCTCTCTTTGTGAAATATAGTAAACAGAACATCAGAGAAGTCGCAACCTGTGATTTGAGACCGGAAAAGTAGAAATGAAGAAAATCAGCGACTGATCAGCGTTTTCATCATGTTGTTTTATAGAAAGCAAGAACTCAAAAAAAGAACCGTAGTGAATAGGGTGCAGAACCACAGTTGGTACTGAACTAACGATGGCGAAAGTAACAAAAGATCATGATAAGAGAGAGGGGGGAGAAAGAGAAAAATCACAACACGAGGCTGATTCTGAGGTTTTGTCTGTGAAGGCCGACTTTGCTTTGGTGAGAAAAGGAACCAATGAGAACGCAGGAGACTGGGGTTGTGGGCGGGTCTTGTGTTGCCCAGGCAGCAAAGTCCATTTTCCTTATTTAGGCAGGACCTTAGTGGCGATGGCGCACTCATCCCCCATGGCACTAAGAACGGTGACCTGAAGAGGGAAATCAGCATAAATATGTGGAACGTAAGGATTTTCTCTGCTGTTCCTCGAAACCACAACGTCCACTAAAGCACCAACATGGAAATGACAAGAAAGTCGAGATCCTTTGGTTTTAGCCATTTCTGAGCAAATGTAGTTTTGTCTAAGGGTTAGTTCTCCGCATTGTAACGTCCAACTTAGCCCACGTTTAAAACCCACACATCACCCATGACTTATTCTTTGTTTAACATGGCCATTTTTGGTTTTGCCGTGTTTTCGACTTGTGAAGCATCGCCTGCTTCTCAGTGCCGTTCCATACTTACTAAAAATTCCTCGCCTGCAGAAAACTTCGTATCAATTTCCTTGCCGACATCAGTGTCAGGCACACGCAAGTCCTCTCTGATGTCACCGCTGTCAGCCAATAAAGACATGTAGCCATTGTCAATGTTCAGCAACTGGTAAAACATGAGAAAACACATTTCAGACACGCACAATAAAATAATATTTCTAATACATGATGGTAGATCCCTGCCCAGCAAAGAACTGTGGCTTTTCTTGGGTTCATAAATACTTGGCTACAGTGTTAACACCATTCTGTTTTCCTGGTGTTTTGTTTGAGACAAAACAATGATGACAACAGAAATTGACAAAGACCCAAAGCCCCAAACAAAGTCAAAACTATCAGAACAAACGTCTCTGTGTGAGGCCCCAAATAAAGATGCACAGACAGCTGTTTTGCAGTCAGAATATGACAGCAGTCATGAAAGACTTCCATAAAGAAAAAACAGTCACTTCTACTTTTTATTCACCCGCATGAAGAATTACTTTGCAAATACTCAAGTACACATCGTCATTAATTAAAGAATAAAATGTTTGCATTTTCACACTTTGCAGGACAAATTCACTTCAGGACCTTTAAGATCAGAGATTCAAATGACCAGATTGTCATAGTCTGTTAACCTCTTTACCACAAAGAGGTTAAAGGACTAAATGAATCCAATCTAAACAATTTAAGTGAATCAAATTAATTTTCTCAAAAGAGAGAATCATGGTTGTATATTACTTTTAACAGTCTTTAACAGTTTTAGTGTGTATTCTATAGGGGTGTAAGACAGTCTCAAAACACTATAGCACTATATAAATTTTTTTTAAATAAAAAAATTAAATATAATAAACAATTGCAAAATATCCATTGAGTCAAACAATCTTATTTTTTCATTTGTTTATCCAAAATCCTGCAAATATTTTAAATTTATTTTCTAGTGATTAGCCCTTTAATTTAAGTACCCTGATATTAAGCATGTAACAGTATTGTATGTTTAATATGCTGACAGTTTTTCTACAATTTCATCATTAAAAACCCTGTTGGGCCTATAGTATTCACAATATAACATATCATTGCCCCTGCATTGTGATGTGTCATATCTTTACCAATATTTTCATTTTTACCAATGCACACCCATGGTATTTTAAAATTTATATTGACACACTGTGGCTGTTGCATGTGTTAATTATGATTGAACCCAGCCATGACTTTGTGAAGGACATTTAGTGAGTGATTGTACCTGGTAGTCTGTTCTTTTAATGGAGGGGACATCCATGTTGTGGGTGGAGGGACACATATCTTCATATTTCTTGTTGGTGAAGAGGTCTATGCCGACCAGGTTGACCTGGGGAACAGAGCAAACCTTGGTTTATGAAGTGTTGATGAGCATTGGGTATAAATATAAGAAGGTGAAAATTGTCAAAATATTGCCATATATCATATGATCCATTACAGAATGAAAACATTGTCAGCTTAAGTCACATTGACATGGTTCCTGCTCAGCTTTTCTTTCTGGGCACACAGGTCAAAGTACAGGTGAGATTATCTAGGTATTTAAAGTACAAGATAAGGACTTATCTTAGTTAAATTCAAAAAAAGTTAACTTTACTAAAATGAAAATGTTAAACCATGAGGCTAAAGCTGCTCTGATAATTTAGATTTTTTTTTATACATGTGCGTATTGGTCTTATTTCCGATAAGTATCCTGAATGTAAGGCTCAAATTAAAAAACCTGTGCAGTCCATTTCTAAGTGACTCAACAGATGCATCACTCCAAAAATAAGCCTACCTTAGCATGTCCATGCTTTCCAGTCTTGGAGGTGGACATCTCCACAATTTTGCAGGGACGTCCCCTCAGAACCACATAACCGTTCTTGCGTAGAGCTGAACACTGCATGGGGTAAGTGGCGGAGGCGCCAGAATCACCGGTCTCAAAGTCAATATCATCTGCCATGGTGTGATGGGTTGGGGCACTAGGGAAGGAAATAGTATCAAAACAATTAAACTACCTGCCTTATTAAAAACACCAAAGAAAGAATAATAAAAAAGAGGAATATGTTCTCCAGCGCAATATTAATTAATATTTAATTATGTATTAATTCAAATCTGCCAATATTTGAAAATGTATCCCAAGGAATTATATATTTATGATTAATCTCAATACATAAACAGACAGTAATTTGATCTTAGTTGGATTATAACTATTTAAACTAAATATGTTTACAGTTCTATTATTCCATCATTAAGCTGATTTAAAGACATACATTAGTTTATAAACATCCGACCTTTTTCGACCGTAGTCTGCTGACAATACAATAATTAAAACTGCGACAGTGTGAGCTAAAATCGCTTTTTGAAGCCTCTTGTAAAAATAAAATATAATTCAACCAGAATTAAATGGTGGAATTGATTAACACTTTTTGTCAAATAATTCCAGCCGAATTGGACCCCGAGAGAATAATTAAAAATATTAAAAACAAGTTAAAAAAACTAATAAACCTATATGGACATGTATATGCGAGTAACTCAACGAAGCTAAACACGACAGTTTGCAGCTTTTTAACTTCATCAACAGCCTTCTCATCGTTTATGTCCAAATAAATGGTGGCTTTTTGAAAATTGAGATCGAAGTTATCCGGCCTAGAATTACCAAGTGCAACAGCAACAAAATACGACAAAAAGAGAAAAAAACCGCTTGTTTTATCTACTAGGGATTTTTATAGTTTGAGAAGACGTTAAATTTCTCGAAATATATGTACTGTAAAACAGTTTTCAGGAGAGATCTCCGGGCTGCTAGCACGAGCTAATCGCGCACACGAGACCGTTATCTAGGCTAACTCCTCATGCTAACAGCTTCCATTCACATCGGTCCAAATTCTGCCTGGAAAAAGAAATTGCGGCCACGCCACGAGTTTGAACCGTTATTTCACTTAGAATTAAAGATGAATAAGAAATATGAGGCGGCTTAAGACTCAAATATGTGAATTAATACTCTGGTCAACATTAGCATAGAGAATGACAAGCCAATTTCGACGACCGCGCCGCTGAATCAACCTGGCACTGTTTCACCGAAAACGGGGTAGCCTACCCACACCCTGGCACTAGCTACCGGCTACAACCGGCCGTTAAAACAAAACAGCTAACCCTACAGCTAACAGGGATGCTTGTGTACTAGTAAACCTGTCGTTAGTGACTTAAAATGAATGTTAGATAGCTTCGTTTATGCCCTCGAGGTAGAAACACGCGCCATGCCACACTTACCTTCTGAGAAAAAGAGGAGCGATATTGCGCGTGCGTGGTGAACTTCACTGCAGCAGCGGCCGACTGAAAGCGGAGGAGGCGGAGCCTTTGACGAATAACTGTGGCGGCAGCTCTGACAGAAAGGGATGCCATTTAAATTGGCATCCCGAATATACAGAAAAACACGGAAAAATACAATAAATCTAGGTTCCAAAAAAAAATTCAAATGAAAGGAAGTTCAAAAAGAAACAAGGGTGAAATTTTATATAAAATCAACCCGTTTAATAACAGCAATTTTCTTTGCTTTGCTCTTTTAGAAATGAATGTCATAACATAATCAAACGTCTTCTTAAAACCCAACCATTTATTTACAGTTACATAATCGCAACATCCCTTGTGTATTACAACACAAAACAATTCAAGGTATTGTTTTTGGAATTATTTTGTTGTCATGTGTTACGTATACGTCATTAATGTAAAAGTAATGTAAAAAGAAAAAGACTAATTTAGAACTGCCTTATATTGTGAAAACTTGATGTAATTCCAATAATTCCTAATGACCGTGCATCAAGACACCATCCACAGCTTATATTGACTTCAAATAACAAGGGTTTTTACAATTTGTTGCAGGTAAAATCAGCTAAGCTCCCCCTGGTATTATCAGTGTTTTTCTTCTGGTGTTTTAAAATGATAACAATCAAAACAGGGGAGACAAAAAGGAAGACACTGTTCTGTTGATGCTGTACAAGAGGAGACATTTATTGTACAATTTCCAACATCACAGATGTGTGTCACCAAAATCTGGTCATCTTCAGACCAATCAGGTGATGCAGACAAGGTGAAAACATCCACTCACATGCATGCCACACACTCTCTCTCTCTCTCACACACATACGTTCACGGTCTTAATACGTACAAAATTGAGATACAAATACAAATAATACTACAATAAAAACATTGTTGTTGTTGTTTTTAAAAATTCTTATAGCTATGTTTTCTATTCTGTAGAAAGACAACTAAGCTTCAGTAGTAAGTGAACATCATTTTTTTGTCTTCCTCTAAAATGATCAGTGAGATATCATCATAAAGAAAATTCTTACAGTATCTATATTTATATATTTATATATATATTTTTTCGAATTGACTGTGCCTCCAACTTTTGTTTTTTTCAGAAGGTGTTGTTCTTGCTTCAGCTTGTGTTACATTTTCACCAGTTACAGCAAATTTGTTGTTATAAAGTAAATTAAGCTGAATGTTAAACATTTTTTGTTGTACTCAGAGGTGAGTAAAGAGAACAGGTGGTCAAAGAATGATCACTGTCTGCCCCAAACATGAGAGTTTCAAACAGAAAGTCTGAGTGCAAAGTCAGTCATCGGATTGCAAACTGGTTTCACAGTCTTTGAGCAGCTTTTCCTAAACTGTGTGTTTTTAATCGTGCGTCATGAAACTCAGCTGTTTTCTCTGCATCAGATTCAAGAAGGAGGGTTTTGAGGAGGAAAAAAAATGACTTGAGAGTTTAACAGTGCAGCAGCCCCTCACACGGAAGGCTCCATACTGGGTATGACACGGTGATTAGCCCACACTAGAACCAGATGTTTGTGACTTAGACTGATGAAACCAGATGATGTCTGGTTGTCACCTTGTTGTCCGTCCACAGATGCACAGAAGCTATTGGTCTACAGCGTCTGCAGTCAGTTTTGTCAACAACACTAATGTCAGTAAACAAAGCAACTATAGAATTTACCAAGAGTCTTCAATGGTCCTGGGCTACATCTCAATTAGATCACATTAATTCCTGTACGGGAGCTCCGATCAGACAGGTGTGATAACTGAGTTTTACCAAATCTTTTTTTTTTTAACTTAGTGAGGCTTTTATATTGAGAAAAACAACAGCCCAGTGAGGAAATCTAGTGAGAATTTGCCCGATTCAACCATCAAGTTAACATGGATTTGTCTTTTTTTTCACAAGCAGTTGTCTCACTGTCTGTTGACAACTAAACAAAAGTCCTACTTCCTTTGTTTTCAGTTCACTTTTAAAACCAGGATGGTTGTTTTTTTTAACATTTTTAGATGACAACCACATTAGACAGGGTGACACACCATCACTCCAGTGGCATCTGAGACTCATGCTATAAAGTTTTCATGACAGACACTTCTTTTCTAACCACTGATGAATAGACCATGTCTGCCAAAAAGCCATTACCAAATACTTGCATGTGTATGTCTCTCTAGCAGGGACACCAAAAGAACTTTGAAGCAGAACTACTACTCTCTTTTTTGGAGATACTTTTAAAGGTAGACGACAACGTCCAGCCGACCTACGACAAGTGGTTGATCTTGAAATCTAAATTGTCTTGCACTGATGCTACATGAACAGACACCAGCACACGTGGACGTCTGTGCAGTGTCCAACACACTGTCACTGATGTGCTACACAAAGAACTTCCTGTCCATCCAAAGTCAAAGGCTACTCGGCGAGGCATCCGTGTCCTTTTTGACATCTTAGAAAGAACCATCATCTTAATCCAACAGTGCAGCAGGGATGTTGATGGATGGTGTTGTTCTAGGACAGTGTGTGCAGTCATGATTGTTCAGGCTATATAGGCCTGCAGCGCCTCCTACAGTTAGGGAGAACAGAGTCCTCCACATTCCTGCAGGTTTTTTTGACTCCTCATTTTGTTGCACCATTTTCGGGTCAGCAGCTAGTTGTGTGTTCTCAACAAGCACTAGCACACACACACAGACACGCACACATACATACACACAAACACATACATTGTCCTCCAGTTGTCCATCGCACTTGCTGTGCAGCAACATCCACCGTGAGGAAGAGGAGGACCTCAGACATTACCAATTCATCATGGAGCTTCGGTTCAGCGTCATAAAGAAGACTTGGCTGCTACCTCCAGAGCGAACTGAGGCAAAAAACACCTGCAGGGACGACAATTGTGGTTTCAGTTTCAACAAAAGACTGTGATGATGTATCAAACTGAACGCAACACAAGGTTTTCTACAACTAGGGCTGTATGTTGTTGATGCAAATCATCCATTTGTTTAAAGACTTTTTTAAAACTTTTTTTCACATGTGCAATACCAGCAGTGATCAAAACAGTGAGGCTACATCCATTTCTTACATACAGTCTATGGTCAGGCTGCAGCGACACACTCACCTTATCATTCCTCTCCGACAGAAACTTTAGCCTCTGAGCTCGTTTGTGCATGAAGACTCCGTCCAAGTGTCCTGTCTCAACAGAGCGAATTTCAATGGCCTTTTCTCCCCAACCCATGATCTGGTTTGAGTGGATGTAGGCTGTTAACACACACACACAGAAGGGACTTATACAGGAGAATTTTGCAAGGTTAAAATATGCTAATTGATGGTTTTATATACAATATAAACATATATTTAAAAATGTCACCCATTATGGTTTTAGTCTAAATTATCTGCCAGGTCTATTGTAACAACAGCTTCAATGTTTCTGCACATGTTAAGGTACTATAAGCTAGCCTACCAGGAAAAAATAAACAGACTTGATGTTGTGAGGCAGCACTTAAGGTCAGACGGACATGCGGTCAGTCAGACATACAAGTTTAATCAATGAGGATTTGGTTTCAGGGACACCTGAGAATCACAGAGTGAAGTTGAGTGAGGTGACCATTGACTGGGATCGTTTATGATCAGACATTCAGCCTGGATGAAACAACCTCGCCTCTGCCGTGTCCCGTTTCTCCTCCGTGACTCAATCTCATGAATAATAGAGTGAATCAGATGGTCTGCTGCAGAGCTTTTCATTTTTTTCATCTGCAAACTGTTGTTGCGTTTGTGTGAAAGCAACAGTGGACGATAGCAGGAAGGAAAGCTGCAGACAAAACTACACTAGCTAAAAAGCAGACATGAGCTAAAATTATTTTTAGTTTCCTTGAAATAAAAATAAAAAAATTATCCTAAGATAGTTAAAAAGTCAGTTTCACGTGGACCAAAATAGATAAAGTTAGCTGAAACATTTACAAATCAGTGTGAAAGGTTAGCAAAAAAATATATAGTTAGTTATATAGTTAAAGTTAAACAATAGATTGACGTACCAACAGAGGTGGGCATCTCCCCCCACTGCAGCACCACGTCTTTGGTGATACGTCCGTACGTGTTGACGTAGACGCCCTCATCCTCGTAGCACAGCAGCATCTCCATTCCGTCTGTCTTGGGCAGGACTACGATAGCGTGAGGAGTCACCTGACCCTGAATCTGGTGAAGTGCCGGGTTAATAAAAGTTAACGTCAACTCACAGGAGCTCTGGATTAATGTGGTTACAGAGGGGAAGCTGAACTGTTCTTACATGTGAAGGGATGTAGATGTCGTAGGGGTTTCCAGAGTCAACATCGATGACATGGAAGCCAACACTGGAGCCATAGATAACTTTCAACCTCTGCCCTTCCTCAACAGTCAGGTCCACCAGCAGAGGGCGATGTTGCAAATCTGTGAAGGACTGGCCAACACATTAAGAAGTATAAATTGGATGTTAAGAATATTTTGTTCAACATACTTGTGTAGGGATTGTTTTCCATAAACAACTACAGTATCTTTCACCCTAGTGTTTCTGTATTTCTGTAATAATTCAGTTTCTGTTTGCAAAGAAAATAACAACTGTTTTCTACCACATATTTATTTTCACCTTGAAAGCCATGAACTTGTGGTAAGGTTTTGGGGCCCAGGCATATATCTCCACAGAGTTCTTTAGAGCGATGACCAAGAACTTAATTCTCTCGTACTTCACTGCAAAAAAGAGCACAGATGTCAAAGAGGTCAGACACACAGGCACAATCATAGGAGTAGCAGTGTGTAACAGGCTGTATATTAAGTATTTCTACAGTAACCTAAATAAACAAAATTCACACTGACATAACTAACAAACAAACACATCTGATCACAGAATTCTGTCTCACCGACTTTGTAGTGCACACAGCCCTCCAGTTCTCCTACGGTGATCCAGCCCTGTTTCTTCTCTACTTCAGGGTCGTTGTGTAATATCCTGTTCCTGAGCCAGGACAGGTAGTAAACACGCAGCTTGTTCTTCTTCCCTGGTTTGGTAAGAAAACAATATAATCCATCAATCAGTTTATAGAACTTCACCTCAGTGTTGATACCTGTCACTGCAGTGAAATGGAGTTTTGCCTTTTGAGGAAACATGCCTCATCAGGAGCAGTACTGACCTGAGATGGTGACCAGGACGTTGAGTCCCTCCAGGACGTCCATCTGTTGGAAGCGTCGCCTGTTGATCAGGTTGTAGACTTTCCCCTGACCACTGCGGTCCAGCAGCATCAGGCCGTTCTCTGTCCCCACCAGCAGGTTGACTCCTGCACACGGTCACACCAGTTGAAAAAATATATACAACAACAATAACAGGTTATAAAGATCTTTGTTAACAATCTCCTGCTCCTCACCCCACAGCGCCGCACACAGGATCTCGGAGTTGAAGCGTTTCTTGTATTTGCGGATCTCAGGTGTGTCGCTGTGTGGCCTGATGTTGGTCGGGTTGACGTTGACCACAGAGATCTTTCTGGCCTCGTTTAGTCGTGCCTGCTCCTGCTCGTGCTCGTGCTTCAGCAGCTCATCCACAAACAGAGCTGCGAATGATTGAGGTGAAAAAAAAAGATGAAAATCCATCAACATTTTTATTCTGCTTTGCTCATTTTCAATGTTTTGTAAAATTAATTTTTTCATCATCATTCAGTAAATTTTAGTTGCACAACCTTTGGATACTTTCAGTTCGCCTTTCAGTTATTATTTGCTTTATCTGAGCCAGGTATTTTTGAACTTTCACCTTCTTTTAAAACAGAGGAAAGCACACAAACTATGATCACACTGACAGTTCTTAAAATACACTTTAAATATTCAGAACTATCCCTTTAAACGCCTGCAGAAGGGCTTGGACTCATATTATAACCCACCCCCACCTACCTGAAGCAGAGCTATTCTCGTCCTCAGTTGGAGACGTCCCGTAGACGCGTGGATCAACGAACGGTGTAAATGAAGCCTTGGAGCCGCCGCTGCCACCACCTCCCATCCCATACTGCCCGAAACAGAGACACAGGACAGAATCACAGGATCAGACGTTGTTTAGGTAGAAACGTACTGAAGGCGGAACAGTCAGAATAAAGGAAAAGTTCATTTAAATTTGTGTCTCTTTCTTGCGTTCTAAAATAGAAAAAAATCTAAATCACAACACAAAACTTGATTGTTTTAATGAACAGAGAGCTGACTTTTAGTTCACTTTCAGTTTCTTAATAGATTCTGGGCTTCTTGAAGCAATCACTTTTTATTCTTGCAACCTTTTCAAACCCAGTATAACTCAGTAATCTGTTCATTATTCTCCTAATTGAAATGTAGTTGTTTTGACAGAGTCACAGACAAATTTACGCCATCAAAAAATATCTTTTGTCTTTAAACCAATCTTGAGCTAACTGCCTAACTTATCATTTAATTTTTTTACTTAACTTTAATTTGCTAATTTTGATTAATACCAGCCTTGGAGACATGGAGTTTTCCTTTATTCCAACAGATACCTGTAGAACATGCTGAGGATCAGGGAGGAAGAAGGTCTGGGTCCAGGGGCTGGGAAACTAGTGATGCAGGTTAGTAAAAAAGTGATGGGGGGGTGAGGGTCTGTTTTTATCTGATTTGAGGAGCTGGGAGCAACGGTTCAATCAACACTGAACAGGTCAGAAAATGAAAAGTGCAGCTGTGACGGCTAACAGCCATTTTTACATGGTGCAAAGAGGTAAAATAAATCAAAAGGGGTGAGGTGAGGAAGTTTCAGGATGGGTAGGGGCCATATTTAGGTGCCATTTGACCTACTTGGACCCTGCAGAGTTGGCTGGGGGAGACAAAGGGGGAGGTGCTCTGCTGCACCAAATCAGGAAGTTGGGCGTCGCCAGAGAACAGACTGGCAATGCCCATGAATCCGATGCTGGCAGCAGAGCTCCGCCTTCGATCTCTGAGTTTCTGGAAAAAATAGAGAGGTGGGAGGGGCTACTGCTCAGCTGATTGACAGATGGGGGCACTGGCTAGACTCAGAGTGTGTTCCATGTTTGTGCACCAGGTTAAACTGTTAGTGCGGCATCATCATTGGACCAGATGATGAGGTGCTTCTTACCTCACGCATCATAAGAGTACTGTCCCTGGAGCTGTTTCCATAAGTGTCCTCATGGCCGTCGTTGTGTCCTCCCACCACATTCAGAGACTCATTTGTACTTTGACTTGCTGCCGGCCTGCAAAAGATTTAACAACTTCTTTAATTTTGATTCTTATTTTTGAAGAACAAAAAAAAAAAAAATCTCTACTGTCACTCACATGATGCGGGGTGCGTCGCTGACTGCTACCGTTCCATCATTGGCTCCGCCCTCTCCCTCCTCGTCCTCGCTGCTGTGAGAGTCCTCACTTGACGAGGAATAGTCAGTGACTTTGACTGGCGGGCGACTGGTCTCCTCACCCTGTCGCAACTCCCTTAGCTCTTTTGCTAAAGCAGTCAGGTCCTGCAGCAGGTTACAAAGATTTACGACAGATTCAAACAAAGTGCCGTCCAAAGAAATCCATCAGTCCATCAACCCAACATCTTACCGCAGGTCGACTCGGTCGTGTCATCTCTCTGGGGTCATCTTTGGTGTCATGTGATGAAAGTGTGGAACTTTCTGTCTTCACGGCTGAGTGACCTGAACAAAAACCAAGAAAAAATAAGAAAAAATAAGAAATATTAGCAAAAGGAAATAAACATGACATCATTATATTCCTGGTTTGATGGCTGCTAAATCTGCCACTCAGAGGTCCATAAGGAAAATCAGTTATTTTAGTTTATGGATAAAACATTAGTCTCTGATCTCCTGCTGTCTTCTGTGGTCAGTGTCATGTTTCCATATTGACTAAGGAGCTTCAGTGGATCAATCTTTGATTTAGTAATGCCTTAGCCCTGTATATTGACAAAGGACATTTTTTTTTATTTTACTTTAGTTTGACACAAAAAAACCCTAGAGGCCATAGTGTTTATTTACCTCGTTCATTGGAGCCTCCCTGTGAGCTTGGGGTGCTTGAGCTGGACGAGCTGCCACTGCTTGTTCTCTTTAGCGGTGTCTCCATGGAAACGTCCATCCTCGGTCGCAAGTCGGGGTTGCTACAGCAACGGAAACAACAACAACAACAGTGTTGTATCACTATTTCATTCATGAAAAAAAAGCGTTTGAAATGCAGAAATGTGTGTATGAGTGTGTGACTGTGTGTGTATTCTGTACCTGGCACGTATGAGGTGAGCTCCAGCTCTAGGACCAAGGCCAGGTCCATTTCCTGGAGAGTTCTTTCTGACTAACGCTGGAGAGATGGAGGTCGTTCTCTGAGGGACCTGAGAACACACACACACACACAAAAAAAAGTTCTACCAGTGGTCAAAACATTCAGATAAAACTGATTTGTTCTCAACAAAATAGTGCGCCCTCTGCTGGAGACAACAGGATTTAAACTCAGATAATGATCATTCAATACAAATACAAAACAAATCTGAACTATTGCTGTAGGATCAGAAACAATACACAGACAAAAAAGTTAGATGCTATCAAAAGGCAGAAAGTTAATTCCACACATGAACACAATCACCAAAAATAAACACACACACACACAAGCACAAACAATGGGGCGGTGGGCTCATGCAGAAACCTTAGGTGGGAGGTCATCGTCCTGCCGCAGCCAGGAGCTGCGGTCCAGCTTGTCGAGAGGGGGCGCCAGACGTGCAAGAGGTGGGGGAGGAGGGGTGTCGGAGGTGGGGTCAGAGTTCTGCCGGGGCATGGGAGGCCGGGAGGGGGAGGGTGACGCTGAGGAGGTGGAGGAGGAGACATCATGGGGGTCGTAAAGGGACTGTGAGCCTGAGAGGCCGTGACTCTTCACCTGCAGCAGGTGGGCCATCTGGACACACACACCCACACACACACAAGTGGACAACAGCCAGGAAAGAGCAGGTAGAGCAGGGTCAGGAGGAAGTGATGCAGGGAGAGAGTGATTAAGGAAAACATGCCAAGAGACGAATAAACCTTATCTAAGGATTAACTCCAACTGGCCCAGAGAATACTGCATATGAACACGGAAAAAAAAAGAAAATCTAATATACCGTAAAGTTAGCTCAAATATGAGAATAGTGAAAGGTTGGCCAGTAGTATGGATGTTATCTTAAATAGATAGTTAATGTGTTTCAAAGTGGGACAACCAGCCCAAGGAGAGCTGCAGTTGGCCTAAACTATTCCATAACTTTTTAGCAGGTGGTCTATGTCAGGCTTTTAGGCACCTGTGCTAAAACTGACACAATGTTACTAAATGTTGGGTTGCCCAAAATGAACAAAACTTGCCAAATGTTAACAAAGAAAAAAAATGGGAAAATTCTAAAATCTAGAAAAAAGAAAAGGTTAGAAGAAAAGAACAATACAACTTTAGCTTAGAAACAATTTGCAGTCAGCCAAATAGCAGGAAAATAGTTGAATGTAAGCCCAGAATTAGCCTTTTGCTAGCCATGTAGAAAACAATGCTAACAGCAGATTGAATTAAACATTTAACCCCAATACCTGTCATCTCTAAACAAACAGGACACAGAAAAATCAATGTTCTGTCTCAAACACTCTCATATTTACAGACAGGAGAGAAATAGCACCCACCTGTGGTTCAACAGAGCGGTGCATGGGTGGAGTCCGGGCCTGCTGAATTCCTCCACTGCTGAAGGACTCAGAACGAGGCGGCAACAACGGGTCTGAGATCCGGTTGGAGACTTGGTGCTGCAACGCAGGAGAAGTCTGTCTGTTCATCTTATAATGCTCCTCCACCTGACTCACACACACGCGTATACACACACACACACCGATGATGTTTATGACTGAGTTTGACTCAAGTGACACTCAATCCCAACAAAGTGTGAAAGATACTTCAAAGGAAAAGTCCAGGTATTTGAAGTATGGTTCTCTCATGTACCATCTGGTATACACTTTATATTATACTATTATATTCCAGATGTGTGAATAGTTACTAAGTACTAAGGAGTACACATGATCAATTTAATTGATTTGTGCAGCAGTGAACGTGGGTTTCAGTTTTCGAAGACTTAAAGTGAGAGATTTCATACTTCAAAAATCCTGAACTAGTCCTTTAACAACCTGAAAGTTAAGATTGAGTTTATATTAGCCTGAAAGAGAAGAAGTGATGTTAGCTAGAGTTAGTAGATGTTACAAACATGTTTCCATGCAAACAAAGAAGCCGCTCCGACCTGTGACCATCAAACACACCACGAATCACCTTTTATCATTTTATATGAAACTATAAATTATTTAAATAATTACTGTTAGCATAACAATGCTTAAACCTTTATAAAAACATTACAAAAGTAATTATTAAAAAAGTCAGGGTTTACATTTAGCTCAGTTAAGGCGTATTTATCATTTGGAGAAAAAGAGTCAAAATACAGAAGTTCAGTTAATCATCCAACGTCTCAGAGTGAAAGGATGCAATTCCTCCTGGTTAGAGAATAAAAGAGGTTAAAGGTTAAAGGGGGAAATGTCTCCACCAGGGGGGGTTAGTGAGTCAGTCTGGACAGACTTCAGAATGGGAAAAGAAGGACCGAAGCGTCTGTTTCTCCTGCGACTGACCCGTCGGCTTGGGCTGCGCCCCCTGGAGTTCGGGTTACGCTCACTGGACTCAGGACTCTGCCGACGCATCGGCGGATCAGAATACCCAGGCACACAGGTAACCCGGATTCGAGGCACATTCAAGAGATCCCTGGATGGGCTAACATGGGCAGGATATGAGGGGGGTCTGGGGCGCTGGCGGGGCTTGTACCCCGGCAGCTGCAGGAGGCTGTTGTAGTCGACTTGACGCGTCTCCCTAAAGGAGTGATATCTCTTGGGCTGGATGCGAGGAGAGTTGCTCTGAGCTCGACGCATCACCTGGGGGACAGGGTCAGTGTTAAAATTTAAAAGACCAACAGGAATAGAGAAGAATGGGGGTCTCGTTTTCAGGCAACACTGCCTCCTGTGGCTGAACCAAACATCCACAAATCAGCAGTTGAGTGAGTGTTAAAAATATCCAGGACAACATCGAATAAAAAAGGGTTTTTAAATCATCACAAGATTGAAGGTAACCCTGTATTTCAGGACATTTTACAGAGGCACATTCTGTTTTTACCTCTTTAGCCCACGCTGGCTTGTCATTGCTGCTGGGAGCCTGGTCTTTGTAATGGTACAACTGCTTCTTGTCCTGTGGCGGTCGCGTCTGTGCGTCCTGCTGCTGCTGCTGTTGCAGTGACACCAGGTACGCCCTCTCCTGCTGCAGCTGCCTCTGCAGGCGCTCGGCCTGACGCTGCTCCTCAATCTGCTTCCTCTTGTACTCCTGAAGCACAGGGGAGGGGACATAACGCAAAATCAAGCTAGGAACAACAATTTAAACAGATGCTAAGAATACTGCTCACAAGCCTAGAAGAAATTACCCACAAATTATATGTTGCGAGCGATGTACATGTTCTCGACCTGAAGCTTTCTTTTTGCTGTAGATTTTCATTTATAACTGAGATACTTTCTCAGTTAACACTTGCAGTTTTCTTGACTGACTTTTGGCTATTTATTTTAAAACTTTAGTTGGCCTTATAATTATATTTAATATTTCACATTTAGGAGAAACAGAAAATCACCACATTCCACTAATAAGATCTGTTTATCTCTGCAAGTTACCACATTCCACTAATAAGATCTGTTTAAAAATTTGGTTCCATAGTGGAGCGGTTGTAGAGTCCTGGGTTTGATTCCCAGAGGAACCACATGCTTGTTTTCGTAATCCTTCTCTGCAGGTTGCTTTGGATAAAAGCATCTGATAAAAGCATGAATGTAAATGTAAAATGTAAGTTGTCAGGGTTATGTGTGTGTGTTTGTGTGTTTGTGTGTGGTGTTTATGTGTGTGTTACCAGCAGTAACGCCTGCTCCTGCAGGAGTTGCTGTTGTAAGATCTCCAGCTGCCTCTGCTCTTCTTCCAGCTGTCTACGTATATACTCCTATCAGTCAGTCAGTAAGAACCCAGCACCACAAAAAGATGCAGCCAATCAGAGAGAAGGCAGACAGGCAGGCAGGGAGCCAATCAGAAGACCAGAAAAAGACAAAAGTAAGTCAGGAGGAAAACAGGCTCGAAGAGTTTAACGTTTTAGTCAGGTAAAGATTAGAGGGGATGCATTCACAGTAGGGGGCAGTAATGAGCAGATAAAGAGCTGAAGCTTTTCAGGAATTTTTTAAAACAGATCTTTTCTGGAAAAGCTTTTTGTGAATAAAAACCCAACTGTGTGGATGTAGCATTAAATCTGGAGAAATGTTAGAAGAAAAGTTAAGACTAAGAAGAAGCCGACTGAGCAGAGTGGACTGAGATGACAGGTCCTCATTTCCATCAGGCTGTGATCTAACCTGTTCTCGTTCTGCGTGCCTCCTCTCCTCTTCCCGTCGCAGCTGCTCAATCTCTTCGTACCTCCTGCGCTGCTCTCTCTCCTGCTGCTTTCGCAGCTCACGCTCTCGACGCTGTTGCTGTAGGTGAAAGTGAATATTTGAACACGACCAGTGCCTCAGCTGCAAATATTTGGTTTTTTTAAACCTGTAACTGTAAGTGAAGTCAAACAAATCTCACCTCCTCCAGCCGTCGCCTCTGCTCCTTCTGCTCCTCGATGCGCTTCTGCCTCTCGGCCAGCAGTTGGCGCTTGTGCTCCTCGTTCTGCTGCTGCTCCAGTTGCTGGCGCCTGATCAGTTCCGATCGTTCCTTATTGGCCAGCTGTAGACGAAGGAAGTCCCGTCTCAGAGTGGACTCCCCGGGAATGTTGATGATGGAGCTGCAGGAGAACCAGTCAGGGGAGAAGGAGTCGTTACATCTGCGCGTCTCCATTCACCAACATTTGGATAGAAGTAGCACAATATTATACGAACCAACTGAGAAATTACCAGAGTTGAGCTCCAGGTGTTTGTGTAATTTTACATACAAAAACGGCTTCCTATTTTTTTGGAAACTTCTGTGGTCAGCATAAGCATTAGTGACATTAGCATTAGCTTCAGTTTGTCCTAGGTACCTTGGTTCGCCGACGTCCCGTTCTTCGTCTTCCTCCTCACGGCCGCTGTACTCGTACTCTGTCTCATCTGAAAAAAAAAAAAACGCACCTCAGAATACAAACATTCTCCTGGGAACGGTATCAACCTGCAGGTGGCAGCCTCACCGCGCTCGCCCCTCCTCTTCTTGGTGCGGTCAATATGGTCTTTGAGTTGAATGCGGACCTGCCTCTCGTTGGGCAGGTCTCTGATGAAGGGGTGTTTGAGCAGCTGCTCGGTGCTCGGCCTCTGGCTGTGACTTTTCACCAGGCAGCTGTCGATGAAAGACTGGAACTTCTTTGACCTGGAAAACACAAATCCAGAACCTTCAGATCGGGAACAAAAACGTTTAAAAACTAATGGAGACGAGACGCTGGAATCACTCACCATTTCTTAGACTTGAGTCTAGGGGCGGGGTTTCTAGGGATGAGGAAGAGCGCTCGCATTGGATGCATGTCGCACAGAGCTGAGAAGGAAAGCAGAAACGAAAAAAATGAAGAGGAATAGTAGAAATACACAGGAAAAAAACACTTTATATGATGAAAAGAAGGGAAGAAGGAACTAGATAGAAGAAAAAGAGAAGTTCTGCAGATGCATGAGAAAGGAAATCTAACATGTTAAGATATGAGCTGGACACCATGTAAAGGGATGAGAGTTATAGGTTTGACACTTACGTGGAGCTCCCTCTGCCATTTCTATAGCTGTGATACCCAGAGACCACAGATCACTCTAAATAAGAGATAAAGAGAGAGAGAGAGAGAGAGAGGGGAGGGGGGAGAAACATCACAACTTCTAAAAATCTATTAGCAACTTCACAAGTGTTTTTTTCCAATGTACTTGTTGAAAGTACAACAATACAGCAAAAAAATAATAATACCCATCTGTCCCAGTGTTTGTACTTTGTTTCGCTTTTTACTCTATTTGTACTTTGTTATTTTCCTATGTGCAACTGTAGGAAATTAAAGTATATTGATCCATCCCACACATACCTTGAAGTCATACGTGGCGTCTGGGTTCTCATCACATGCAATAACCTCCGGTGCCATCCAGTACGGCGTCCCAATAAATGTGTTCCGCCGCCCGACCGTACGATCCAGCTGAGCACTCACACCAAAGTCGACTAGACATGCAGACACACAGAACTGCATTCAGGACCATTTTCTAAACCCTACAATGTCCAGAGTTCCAGGAACCTCCCACCTGCATCGCCAGTTAATGTGATTTAAAAATGTGGCGTCATGGAGGTTGTCTGAGTCTGAGAGTCTTACCGAGTTTGACCTCAGCGTTCTCCGTCAGCAGCACATTCTGACCTTTGATGTCCCTGTGGATGACCTTGTGCTGGTGGAGATGAGTCAGACCCTGGCGAAAGAAGAAGACACTGTGAAAACAGAAGAAAAGTAGAAGTAAATCTGCCCCTGTCTCTGTAAACAACTACAGCTCTCACCCTCAGGATCTCTCTGCAGACGTAGGCGATCCACTCCTCCTTCAGCGAGTTGCCTTTGGTGTTTTTGATCAGGTCTGTGATTGAACCAGCACCACAGAACTCCATCACCAGCTGCAGACATTCACAGAATCGAAAAAATACATAAAATTAGAGCAAAAAAAAAAACCAGGCAAAATTTGACCAACACCGCCACCAGGTGGTCCAAAAATGTTATGCTCTTATCTACATCATCACAAAAAGTAACGATCTGAGATCTTGTACAGACGTTTTGATCCAATGTTTTCTTACAACAGTGGAGGCATCACTGTTCACTTTACCTCAAACTGCTGTCACATGTACTGTAGTCTATTGGCTAATAATTAAATTAAGTTTTGATCCAATGTTTTCTTACAACAGCAGAGGCATCACTGTCTGTAGTGCTATTCACATTACCTCAATCTGCTGTCACAAGTACTGTAGTCTATTGGCTAATAATTAAATTAATGTTAGCACACCTGCTAGGATAGCTGAAGAAGCTAAACTGGATAAAAATATAGAGGAGGTTTTTAAGTTTAATGCTTCTTCAAAATCCTCTCTGTTTCACTGGGCCAAGCAAAACTCCAGGTGTTTGAAGACTGTTGCCCCCTTGTGGTCGTTGTATGACGACGTACGTACCCAGAGCTGATCGTCCATCCCAGGGGGGTTCTTCTTAACGAAGGCTCCATAGTAGGTGGCGATGTTTCTGTGGTGACTGTACTTCTTCAACATGTTGATCTCCGCTTTAATCTCCTCCTCCTCATCCTGAAGAACGCCCATACGCACAGGAAATACACAAACACGTTGTGATGCAATAATGTGTAATGTAAAGACGTTTGACACAAAATGGACAGACAGGTGAATCTTTGAATATTCAGAACTTTGAAGTATGACTCACTCCCGTGACGTCCATGACCTTGATGGCAGCGAGTTGGCCAGTTTTGACATGGCGACCCTAAAAAAAAAGGAGTAGACCGATGCATTTGATAAAGAAAAATAATAACTAAAAAAATTCTATTGATCGATCAAATAACCCAGACCCCAGTCTGCATGTTTTTTAGACCGAAGAAACCAGAGGATCTGGAGAAGACACAAACAGGGCAAACATGACTGCAGGTGTTGACGGTTCTGGATGTTTCTGTAGTTTTCATTACATTCCCTTGTTTTCCTTTTGTTTCAAGTTCAGAAGTGGTGTTTTTTTACTTAAATGTTTTGGAACTCCTGTTTCAGGTTCACCTCAGAGACACAAGAGCCTCAGAGCCTGGCTGCAGGTGACGCCTGTGAGACCTGACATGCTGAGGGTCACATCAAGAACGGACGATGTGAAGGCTTCAAAAAAGGGTCTGCTCTTTATCCAGAGAACTGTTCCTCACTTCTACAAGACCCTGTTGTTGTTGTTGTTGTTTGACACAGATCATTACAAGACATTCTGGGGTTTTTTAAACCTTTGATTTTTTTTATCTCCTGCCACAAAAACATAAATCTGCCTCAGGATTTTTATTTTGTTGTTATTCTGTCTGAAGCTCTTTTCCCTCAAACTCTGAAGTCACATCACAGCTGTTAGTGCAAGAAAGTGGAAATTCATCCACCACACACACACTCACATGCACACGCGTGCGCACACACACACACACACCATTTCCTTGTGGTAACCTAGCAACAGGCCTGACAGGTTGTTTGGTGAGGGCAACGAATAGGGGGTTGGATGATGTGTGTGTGTGTGTGTGTGTGTGCACAGTCAATATTTCACACTCTGGGTCACTCACACTTGCAAGCTGGATGCGCGACAAACGCACTCACACACGCACACGCAAGTGCACACACACAGTTTCTTACTGTTGCATCAGAACATATCAGAGGCCGAATCCATCTCAGAGAAAATTTAACATTTCATGATCCTGCAGTCGTTCCACTGAATCTCCTTGACTCAGTCTCTTTCATCATCGCCACCACCACCATCATCATCATCATCTTCTTCATTTATTATAATTATTATGAATGACATGAACAGTAGTTACACATACCTCTGATGACACTAAATCGTTTTCATTGAGATTCTGTCACATTCTCTACAAATACAGTATCTTGTTCCTAACATGTAATTATCTTGAGGTTAATTTTGTTACCTTTGGCCTATAGCTCCCATAGCCGGTTGGCTAACATTTAGCACTTTCTTTCGTCTAGGGTTATATAGCACATTATCTGCCCACATTTCATTAGCTCCTTGTTTCCTCCTTACTTGCAGCTCCAGGTCAGACTCTCCTTAGCACTTCGGTCTAAACCGTCCCAAACACGTTCATTTCTACTCTTTTCTTCCATAGAAGATCTCAACACCTCTGATTCTCCCACCTCTCGTTCTGCCTCCTGTCTTTTGGACACGGTCCACTGTCTCTAACTTATTCTTTAGAACCAGCTGATTCTGACTTTTAGATTTCTTCCTTTCAGTTCTGATGCTGGGTTTATTGTAAATCTCCAGCCTTCATCTCTTTCTTCATGCAAAGTCTTCTGGATTTGTATTGTGGAATATTTTAAATAACTCTCCACCCCTGCAGGTTCTCTTCCACCTGCTCCCTATTCCCACAACTGATTACAATGTCATTCCAGGACATTGTGGTCCACGGGGCCTCCTGCTCCAGTCCATCTGTCAAGCTGTCCCTGAGATTTTTAAGAAGAAACTTAAATATACTCTGACTCTGACAGCCCTGACATTTATATCTGCCTTGGAATCGATGACTTCACACCAATGCCCATCATTAGTGATCAACGGCCGAGAGTCTGGATCAAGTCCACGCTGTTCGCTGTTACTCAGCAATGTTCAATTCTACACATCTGAGCTTCTCTGCGTCTCAGGCTCGGGTTAAGTCCGGAGAATCACTGCAGCGGCTGAAGGACAAACGGCTGCGACGGAGGCAATAAAAGCAGGCGGCAGATAAAAGAGAGGTGATGAGAGGAAGCGATAGCGTCTGACACGGGCTCTTTGTTTCTGCTATCGCTCTTCCTCTGACACTGATGGCCAGCAAAACAATCTCCCAGAGGTGTTCTGGAGTGTGTGTGTGTGTGTGAGGGGAGAATTATGCTTATGAAGAATCTGAATCCAAACACAAACACACACACAGGCAGCAGAGGAGATAAAGATAGCGGCAGAGTGAGAAGGGAAGGAGGGGTCAGGTAAAGAGGAGGAGGAGGAAGATGACTGGAGACAGGAAAGGGCAAAAGACTCCTTTTTCCAACGTGGCCTGAGGTGTAAAAACACATCACAGAGCTGCAGTGTTCAGACAAGCCTGACATTCCTCACCCCAACACAAGCCCTGACAGAGGAGGACGTAGGACGAACAGCTGAGATTCCATCTCTGACACTCTTCACATGCAAAATCCACCGGAGAAAGTAAAAAAGGTTCGACGGACTCTGACTGTTTGGAGCCAACTGTAAAAACTGTGATCACGTCTCAGACAAGTATTGATCTCAGACTCCAGTGTGTCCTTGTAGCCATCCAGATACTGACTCGTCTATAAAATGAAGTTCTGCTTGAAAGGATGTGTCCATTTAAAACACCTTTCTCGTGATATACAGACTTTTTCAAATTAAATGTCAGGTTTATGATTCAAATTTACAATAAAAGTACAATAAAGGTAAAGTATAGATGAATCTAATCCTCTCAGTAACATTCACCTCCCGTGTGAGAAGAAATACATGGTGACGTGTGTAAGTAGGTGTCGTTCTCACTTTCTGCTTAAAATCTTGACATTTCTGGGTGAAAATATTCACCAGTAGGAGGCAGTGGCGCTAAGCGAAGTATGCAGAGCTGATGGCATTATCCAGAAAAGAAAAAGCAGAGCAGAGATACATTAGCTTAGCCTAGCAGTGGAATATATTTGTCATAATTTTAACAGACGTTGTAGCAACAATGCAACAACTTCATGGTGTTTTTTTTTCAGTATAACACAGCTCCTCTAAACCCCTGCCTCGACCCTGTCGATCCTGGGCTGTAGCTAATGCTGTTCAGTGGGCGGCAACAACAAGTCTTCAAACCTAAATGTAATAACAGTTTCTGTTAGAATTGTCTGGCTTTTGGGGTTTTAGTTCTATATCTGCTTACCCAGTTTCATAGACCACTAAGAAAGTGGAAAGAACATTTTTGGTCAGAATCTGAGCAGTATTAATAAAAAAGGGCAGACAAGACATAGTTCTAAAATTAAAAAAAATAAAAGGATAGGCGCAGACATACCAGAGAGAGCAGTGACAGACTGCCAGTCTGGAGAAAACTATGCTGTCACACGAACCAAATAACAAACCGGTTTTCTGCTGCTCTTCGTTTACCCACAATGCTCAGTGATTGACAACAGCCTCTATTAATTGTTTTCAATCAATCATCACAGTGAAGGCGATGTCACCTCATAGGAACGACGGATCAATAACGAACAACCAGAACGGATGTGCACAGGTACACTATTCACTGTAGATCCCAGTGTCCAAGTATCTGTATTTGTATTTGAAGTACACTTCAGTTCTCAGTATTTGAACTCAAATCCCAACGTCCTAAAACCATCATCTGTCAACAGTGGTCCAAAGAGGGAAGTCGCTCTACAGGCAGCAGGTGGTTCAAACGGCTGTGGAAGGTTCTGCTATAAAGTGTCAGAACACACAGCACATCACACACTGCATACTGAAGCTGCAGACCAGACGGAGAGCTCACGTCCTGTCCACCGCTGACAGTGACAGGAATGGGCATGTTCTGTGCAATCAGAATAACTACAGGCAGCAGCAGAAACAGCTGATGATTTGTTCAATGCTTGGAAACCTTGGATCTTCACATTCGTGTGGAAATTTCTTCATAAAAGGTTTGGAAAACACCAGGAGTTCAAGGCGTTGTCTTGACCTCCAGGTATCAGTCCAATCAAACATCTGTGAAGTGCTTGAGAAACCACTCTGGTCCACAGAGGCCAGACCTCGCAACTTAAAGGACTTAAAGGATCTGCTTCTAACGTCTTGGTGCTAGATACCACAGAAGAACTTCAGAGGTCCAGTGAAGTCCGTGCTTCCACAGGTCAAGGCTGTTTTGGCAACGGAAAATGAACCATCACAATATTAGGCTGCGCTCTGACAGATTTCTAGAATAACTTTCATATTTTTCTTTTCAGGGATTACTGAGATGTTGAAGTTGGTACCATTTCCAGGTACAGAACCTGGAGTGCAGGAGGAGGAGTGGCCAGGAAATGAGAAACATTGGGTTTAAATGTCTCAGACACCTTTTGGCCACACCTACGAGCATTGGGAATTGAACTCTGCACCTCTGAAACTTCCTACAACCTTCACACACATCTGGTTAGTTAAGATTTTCAGGAACAGCAGGCTGAGGTCACAGCGTAAATAATATCCAAACAACATTTTTCTCACAGCCACAGATCCACAAACACACACACTACAAGTCAATAAAACAGTCTTACCTTGTAAACCTGCCCGTAGGTTCCATTTCCAACCAGTTCCACCAGCTCAAAGATGCCAGCTGGGTCCTGAGGAAGAGTCAGAAACGCTGTGTTATAAATAAGAACAAGCATCTATCTTAGAAGTTAATAATGTGTCACCTGGACGAGCTGTTTACACACATCTCTGTGTGTATGTATGTGTGTGTGTGCAGTGGTATCATGTAGGTGTGTGTCATGGTCCAGTCAGCCACAGGAGAGCATCTAAGCCTCTTCATGAGGATTAGCTTAAAAAGCAGCAATTCTCAAGGTCACGCAGACAAACATGAAATCCTGCAGGAACCAGTCCCAGTGCACACACACACACACACACACACACACATCTTATACAGATATACAGTATATATACACACACACACACACCTGGACAGGGTTGTCCAGGTGTGTGTGTGTGTGAAGATGAGAATCAGAAGTGCAGCTATAGGCTGGTCAGGCTGCACGAGGACACCCTGATGATTTTCAGACACAGGAAGTGCTGTGTGTTACATTGAAAACTGGTAGGATTTGCGTCACGCTGATATGTGTCCCCCCTCCCCCCCAGCCTCCCTCCCCCTCTAATGCTCTGACCTAATTTCTGTATCATCATAGCAGTCAAGTAGAAAGAGTTTTTTTTTTTTTTTTTTTTTTGCAGGAACACGATCATCTCACTCTGAGGGAAATGAAAGACAAAGTATATATAGATGGGCCGAACACACGGGTGACGCTGAAGCCTCATCTGTGGTTCAAGAGGAAGCACAAACATGTCAGAACGTACAAATATGAGTAATGGTGCCAGATGTTGTCACTTACCCGTTCACAGTACACATCTTCATCATCCTGACTTTGACTAGAGCCTCAGAGACACAGTTCTGTCTGACCAGGACCGGCCGTGGTCCTCACCGAGACATCTGCACCGCTCATCATCTCTCTAACACTGAACCCTGTTTACTTCAGTCAGACTCTGCTCAGCTTTGACTTCCACAGTCACTGTGTAGCAGGGCATTGTTTCAGGAGTCACACTGCGTTTCAGTGGTTGAGTCTAATCTGTGCTCTGTGTCTCTTCTAGTTCTATAGTAGTCTATTTATGCTGCTGTAAGAACATGGATTTGTTGTTGTATATTTGCCTGATAATCTGCAGCTACACACACACACACACACACACAGTCACACCCTGTTGTTCAAGCCCAGACTTGATTGTTACCGTGCAGGTATACTACAGCGTTGCGTAAGCAACAGCAGCAACAGCATTAAAGAATAGGGAAGAAAGAAGAGCTGTGAGTGACACACACACACGCATTCGCACGCGCACACCACGTGACATGTACAGTTTCTGTAGAACTGAGCACATGTTTAATGTTCGACCGTCTCTGACTGTACGTGTGTGTGTGTGTCACACACATTCCTGCAACGAAATCATCCTGTGCGCTCTCTCATCACGTGCACGAGCGCGCGCAACCCCCTCCCCACTGTGATGCATTACTGCTGCTGCTGCTGCTGCTGTCGCCACAACATCACGAAATGGCGGAAATTGTTCCCGGTCGTTGCTTCTTTATTATTCAGTGTGTTTTTTTGTGCGTGTGTGAGCGTGCACACACATCTATCCGTGTGTCCGTGGGTGTGTGTGACCGTTGTGTGGAGCAGAAACACACATCTGACCTAGACACTCACACTCATCCCTGTGTAATGCAATGCAATGATACGGTCTGACGCGCGTGCACGGGAAAGGAGGTGGCGTTTACGCGTGCAATATCGGCAGCTCAGGGCCTGTCATGGCGTCACTAATTATGGTTTGGAAAAAAAATAAACAACAAATAAACAAACAATAAGAAGAGAGACCGCATGAGACCACGCGCGCGCGCACGGCGACCCGATTCTCTCAAATGTTTCATTCCTGGGTATAAGAGACTCACACGCGCGCACGCACGCAC